CCACCCCAGCTGGCATCCATGCGCAGCTCGATGTGGCTCATGCGAAGGCTGATGTGGGTGAGCCTGGGCAACCAAGGAACCAACCCTCAACTCCTAAAAACCTCAGACCTCAACTCCTGGAAGCCTCAACTCTTTGAAACTTCAACTCCTCCTAATTATTTTCCCCAAACCTCCACTCCTAAAAGCATCAACCCTTAGAACCCTCAAACCTCAACCCCCAAAAGCTTCAACTCTTAGAACCCTTAAACCTCATCTAACCCTCAAACCTCAACTCTTGGCCTAATCTCAACAGCTCAAACCCCAACTCCCAAAACATCAACTCTTAGAACCCTCAAACCTCAACTCCTCTCAATCGAGCCCTCAAACCTCAACTCCTGGAAGCCTCAACTCTTAGAACCCTCAAGCCTTCCTCTCAATCTAACCCTCAAACCTCAACTCCTAGAAGCCTCAACTCTGAGAATCCTCAAACCTCAACCCCTCCTAATCTCAACACCTCACACCTCAACCCCTCTCAAACCTCAACTCCTGGAAGCCTCAACTCTTTGAAACTTCAACTCCTCCTAATCATTTTCCACAAACCTCCACTCCTAAAAGCCTCAACTCTTAGAACCCTCAAACCTCAACTCCTAAAAGCCTCAGCTCTTAAGACCCTCAAACCTCAACTCTTGGAACCCCCAAACCTCAACTCCTCCTACCCCCAGCCTCCAAGCATGAACTCCCAACAGCCCTCAGCCTTCAAACCTGAACTCAAAGCATCTCCTTTGCCAAGGCTCCAATCCACCGTGCTCTTGAGGTTGTTCGTGTCCTCCTCTGCCCTCTCCTCCACCTTCTTCTTCTTACTCTCCTCCACCATCTTGCCATGCAGGTGGCCGATCCTTGGCTGCCACAGCAAACCCTGCACCTCAACCCTTACAACCCTTAGCACCCTCAAGCCTCACTGACCCTCTCCTTTCAGGGCAAAAAAACAGCCTATAAGTCACTGCCCCGCCCTTCAAATAACAAACCCTAACTACCCTCCCCTACCCCAATTGCAAGCCAAAGCTGCAGCACTCCCACCGCCAGCGTGCCCATCACCAGCACCACCTTGTTCCAATCCTGCCTCAGGCACTCCCTCCCTGTCACTTGAAAACCCACCCCTTCAAACCCCCACTCTCTCTCTCTCTCTCTCTGCCATTCACCCTGCAACCAAGGCACATCATGGTGCCTGACCTCTCCTCACCTTGCCTGATCACCTCACCTCACCTGCTTGAGCAGCTGAAATGGCCAGCGGTGTTGGGGGACCTTCCCACAAGGTTGTCCTGACCTGACTTTTTCCCCCAAATTCTTTGATTTGGAAACCCCCTATTAATCAACCATAAGAAAGGCCCCCCGTGGTTGCTTTAAATCCTGACCTTCCCACAAGGTTACCTGACATGACTTTCCCACAAGCTACCTTCAAGCCCCTGATGAACAATTCTTAGATTTGGCACCCCCTGTTAATCAACCATAGCCTTCAATATAATTCTCTGATTTGCTATAAATCCTGACCTTCCCAGAAGGTTTTCCTGGCCTGACTTTTTCACAAGCTACCTTCAAGCCCCCAAATTCTTAGATTTGGCACCCCCTATTAATCAACCATAGAAAGGCCCCCCTGGTTGCTTTAAATGCTGACCTTCCCACAAGGTTACCTGACATGACTTTCTCACAAGCTACCTTCAAGCCCCCTAATTATTGATCAACAATTCTTAGATTTGACACCCCTATTAATCAACCATAGCCTTCAAAAGAATTCTCTGATTGCTTTAAAGCCTGTTCACAAGCTGCATTCAAGCCCCCTAATTGCTGATCAACAGTTCTGTGATTTGGCACCCCTATTAATCAACCATGGAATGGCTCCCCTGGTTGCTTTAAATCCTGACCTTCCCACAAGTTACCTCTTTCTCACAAGCTACCTTCAAGCCCCCTAATTATTGATCAACATTTCTTAGATTTGGCACCCCCTATTAATCAACCATAGGTTTCACAAGCTACCTTCAAGCCCCCAAATTCTTTGATTTGGCCCCCCCTATTAATCAACCATAGAAAGGCCCCTCTGATTGCGTTTCATCCTGACCTTCCCACAAGGTTCTCTAACCTGACCTTTCCACAAGGTTCCCTGACCTGACTTTTTCACAAGCTGCCTTCAAGCCCCCTAATTACTGATCAACAATTCTTAGATTTGGCACCCCCCTATTAATCAAAGGACTCTCTGATTGCTTTAAATCCTGACCTTCCCACAAGGTTCCCTCTTTCTCACAAGCTACCTTCAAGCCCCCTAATTATTGATCAACAATTCTTAGATTTGGCACCCCTATTAATCAACCATAGCCTTCAAAAGAATTCTCTGATTGCTTTAAAGCCTGACCTTCCCACAAGGTTCCCTGACCTGACTTTTTCACAAGCTGCATTCAAGCCCCCTAATTGCTGATCAACAGTTCTGTGATTTGGCACCCCTATTAATCAACCATGGAATGGCTCCCCTGGTTGCTTTAAATCCTGACCTTCCCACAAGTTACCTCTTTCTCACAAGCTACCTTCAAGCCCCCTAATTATTGATCAACAATTCTTAGATTTGGCACCCCTATTAATCAACCATAGGTTTCACAAAGCTACCTTCAAGCCCCCAAATTCTTTATTTTGGCCCCGATTAAAAGCAAATGGCCATATAAAGGGGCCCCTCTGTTATGCGTTTCATCCTGACCTTCCCACAGGATCTCTAACCTGACCTTTCCACAAGGTTCCCTGACCTGACTTTTTCACAAGCTACCTTCAAGCCCCCTAATTATGATCAACAATTCTTAGATTTGGCACCCCCCTATTAATCAAAGGACTCTCTGATTGCTTTAAATCCTGACCTTCCCACAAGGTTCCCTCGCCTGACCTTCTTACAAACCACAAGGATCCCTGACCTGACCTTCCCACAAGGTTCCCTGACCTGACTTTTTCACAAGCTACCTTCAAGACCACCAAATTCTTTAGATTTGGCACCCCCAATTAATCAACCAAAGAGATACAACTCTGATTGCTTTAAATGCTGACCTTCCCACAAGGTTCCCTCACCTGAACTTCCCACAAGGTTCCCACAAGGTTCCCACAAGGTTCCCTGGTCTGACCTTCCTACAAGGTTCCCTGACCTGACTTTTTCACAAGCTACCTTCAAGCTCCCTACTTATTCATCAACAATTCTTAGATTTGGCACCCCCTGTTAATCAACCATGTTCTCCAACAGCCTCCAAAAACCCCTCTGGCCTCAAAAGTCATGACCTTCCCACTCACCTGACCTTCAAGCCCCCCAAATTCTTCTGGCACCCCCTATTAATCAACCAGAGAACTACAACTCTGCTTGCTTTACATGCTGACCTTCCGACAAGTTTCCCTCACCTGAAATCCCACAAGGTTCCCAACAACCACAAGGTTCCTGACCTGACCTTCCTGCAAGGTTCCCTGACCTGACTTTTTCACAAGCTACCTTCAAGCTCCCTAATTACTCATCAAAATTCTTAAAATTTGGACCCTGGAATCAACCATGTTCTCCAACAGCCTCCAAAAACCCCTCTGGCCTCAAAAGTCATGACCTTCCCACTCACCTGACCTTCAAGCCCCCCAAATTCTTCTGGCACCCCCTATTAATCAACCAGAGAACTACAACTCTGCTTGCTTTACATGCTGACCTTCCCACAAGTTTCCCTCACCTGACCTTCCCACAAGGTTCCCACAAGGTTCCCTGACCTGACCTTCCTACAAGGTTCCCTGACCTGACTTTTTCACAAGCTACCTTCAAGCTCCCTAATTACTCATCAAAATTCTTAAAATTTGGCACCCCCTATTAATCAACCATGTTCTCCAAAAGCCTTCAAAAGACCCCTCTGATTGCTTTAAATCCATTCTATAGGTTCCCTGGCCTCACAAGTCATGACCTTCCCACAAGGTTTCCTCACTTGACCTTCCCGCAAGGTTCCCTCACCTGACCTTCCCACAAGGTCCACAAGGTTCCCTCACCTGACCTTCCCTCAAGGTTCCCTCGCCTGACCTTCCCACAAGGTTCCCTCACCTGACCTTCCCACAAGGTCCCCTTCTTCACCTGACCTTCCCACAAGGTCCTGACCTTCCCACAAGGTTCCCTCACTGACCTTCCCACAAGGTTCCCTCACCTGACCTTCCCACAAGGTTGACCTTCCCACAAGGTTCCCTCACCTGACCTTCCCACAAGGTCCTGACCTTCCCACAAGGTTCCCTCACCTGACCTTCCCACAAGGTTCCCCCACCTAACCTTCCCACAAGGTCCTGCCACAAGGTCCTGACCTTCCCACAAGGTTCCCTCACCTGACCTTCCCACAAGGTCCTGACCTTCCCACAAGGTTCCCTCACCTGACCTTCCCCTGACCTTCCCACAAGGTTCCCCCACCTGACCTTCCCACAAGGTCCTGACCTTCCCACAAGGTTCCCTCACCTGACCTTCCCACAAGGTCCTGACCTTCCCACAAGGTTCCCTCACCTGACCTTCCCACAAGGTCCTGACCTTCCCACAAGGTTCCCTCACCTGACCTTCCCACAAGGTCCTGACCTTCTTCCCTCACCTGACCTTCCCACAAGGTTCCCTGACCTAACCTTCCCACAAGGTTCCCCTTCCCACTATTAGGGGGCGGCCCTCAAAAAAATGACAGACCTGACCTTGTGACCTTGAGGGGGGGGGGGGGGGAGGGGGGGCCGGTTTATTAATCCGGGGTCTGCATTATTCAAAACGCGGGGGTTGGCCGCTTCCAAAAGTGGTCTGATTCAACACGAATCTCGGTTCGACCCACCCCTAATAAGCTGGTTGATTCAGGGTCAACGTTGAGACACGTCCGGTCCTCCAGTGGAGGTTAGAATCAGTTGGTACCAGCTTTTTTCGGTTTTGTCTAATTTAGTAGGGGAACCGAATCACCCCCAAAAAAAGGGGAGAGAAGGGCAGGGTGACCTCATCATTTTGCTTGGGCCCCCGCCGTGATGCCACGCGCGTCTGACGGCAGCGTGCAACAGGCCATGGCGGAGACCGAAACCGCCGGAAGATTGTCCCCACCAAAACCCAAAAAGGAACTGAAGTCCGAAACGGATCCTTTTTGCTGTTTCCTATGTCTGTTTTTTTTAAGAAACACACCTTCTCTTTTGGTGTCAAAAACAAACCTGGTCACCTGGTTAACCCATGGTCTACCTTGGTTCACTTGGCGTGTTGCAAACACCTGTCCACCCGAACTCACCCTCTTTGGGGGGTTCACCTCAGAAAACAGATCGGGGATGCATCCAACGTACCTGGTTTCCTGTTGGTGTCCGTGTGCAATAACAAAACACAGCCACCAAAGCGGGACGTGTAGGAAGCGCACATACCGTCACATCGCTTGGAGCTATCAAGCACGGCTACGCAGCAAAGAGTTTTCGCGGCGCGGCCAGGCGACATCTTTTTTGAGCGACCTGGTGGTACTAGAAGTCGAGACTCGCGTCCATGGTCTTTCCAAAAAGGTTGTTCAGGGTGGGTGTCAAAAAACAAAAAAAAAGCCAACGATGCGGATTAGGACCAAACAGGAATTTTGGCTTTCCCGTTGGCTTCCCCAGCCAAACTTCAGAAGTGCCAGCTCGAACGCACACCCAGTGAAGCTCGCGGAGTGGTGATGAGCGCTTTCCAGAGCTCAACGTGATTCACTTAGAGCTGGATTTGGAGAAGTTTGGAGCTGTAAACCAATTTTCACCCGAATAGGCAAATAGGATTTTCAGCCTGGAGGATTTAACCTGCGGTCTGATGGTTTAATTTTGCCTTTCCCGTGCAACGATTTGGGTGTGGCTCAAAGTTAAAGAGCTAGGGTTACGCAGTTTTCAGTTTGGTTCCATAGCGAATAGGTTGCTTTGGCTGAGAGGGGAAGCACATCAAGGCGAGCATTTCTCTCACCAAAGCGCAACCTAGGACCTAGTGCAGATTCAGATAAACCGAGTCCACTTTCGGAAGCCCTGGCTTTGGGGTCGACGCTAATTCCCATGCATGGCAACTGACCCAAGCTTTTCCAAGAGTTGCAAATCCGCACTGAGATCTCAGGATGGAAACCTGACTGGAGTTTTTCGGAGCAAGGCTCGCTTGCCTGAGATGGTGTGGGACTTATGTAGTGATTGGCAAGACAAAACTAGTCCTTGTTCTGTTGGTAACCAACCAGGTTAGTGAGCATTCGTCCCAAACCACGTGCACAATAACAGAAGAAACCGGAGAATGGGATCCGCTTCTCAGAAGGAGTTTCCTCTATGAATGATGGGTTTTGTGGGTTCCATGTTAATCTCTAGGAGACTAAGAAAGAGCCCATATAATTTTTTTGGAGCCTCGACATGGAAGGCCTGACAGAAACCGTGAACTCAACAGTCTATTCTAACATTCTAAGAAACCAGCTGCAGGAATTCCTAGAGGAAATGTGTCCCCTATGTTTCCATCAAAAATGGTTATACATTGACCTTGCTACAACCATTCAACGAGAAAGAACACTCTACAGTGGCCAATGAGGGCTTTGGGCGCGGCTCACTACCTCAAATCAAAGAAGCTGCGATCAGTTGCTTGGTGGACAACAGTCCAAGCGTTTCAGCGCTTCCGCCAAAGGGTCCATCATCACAAATCATACTAACCTGGGGTTTCCCACGCAAAAAAAAGAGAGACATTCTGTTCAACCATCGTTCTTTTCAATAACCTGCCGTTTCCCTGGGTTTCTGAAGGTTTTCTAGAAAGAAGGATTCCTGGAAAGAATTGGTTTTCCAACAAAAAAAAGAAACAACATATATACACGATTCAGCCATACGTTCAAGCAACCAGTCGCCCCCAGAGCAAGCAATTTCTTCGTCTCGCAAGACCGATGGTCTGACGGTGGAACCCCTCCCGTCTGGCCGGCTTGATGTGCTTTCAGGCTGCGCGGTCCAAATACATGCGCCAGTACTACAATCATATACCAAACTAAAACCAGTAGATGGACAAAAGCCTGCACCAGTTGGGATGGATGCAACCCTAGAAATTATGGGATAAACCACTTGCCAGCTGGCGCGTTGGATTTGGTGTAACCCCTCCTGTTCAATTTTGAGCCACACCCAAATCTCAAGTTTAGGGTGTGTCAGAATGACGCGCGCCTCCAAACCGGCCTGGTCTTGAGGAATCTACATGGGCCCAATTCTTTGGGGTCCCAAACAACTGCCGCTGAGAAAATCCTTTGCAGCCATCGAGCCTCTCAAAAAAAAAAAACATCGGGGCCCTTGGCAATTGTCTTTGGCATTTTGAACGCCAAAAGTGTCAAAAAGGATTGCCATATGGCTGTGGGTCGAAAATGGGTACCCAAAATAGAAATTTCCGGTTTTATGGTGGTTGAATTTTGACCCACACCCATATCCGGGCTGTCCTCAGATCCTCTGCTAAAAGTTTAACTGCTAGTGGGCTAAATGCAAACTACCACAAAACCCTAAAATCCAAAAAAGCTAAGGGGACGGCTGGGGGCCACCAAGATACGGTTGACAACCCACTCCCCCAATCTCTATGTGGTTGTGCCACTTCTGCTGAGGAGTCAGGGCACCTCAACATGCAAAGTCCCTCTTTTTGCCTTCCCGATTGAAGCTTGACCTTTGTTCACCTTGAAACAGCCCTTCAAATGTGAGACCTTTGCTTTCATGACATGAATCTTGGCCCGCTGGGCTACACAGAAACAATACTTTCCAATTCCATGTCATATTTAGTATACCCTAACATACTGTATCAAAATACTTACCCCTTAAAACTCCAAGGATTGGGGAAGTTAACCTTTTACAGACATATAGCCCATGTTACCCAAAAAGTTGAAAAGTTGTGTTTTTAAGAGGTAAGAATAGCATCTGAGAAGACCTCAGGAATAATTGGGGAACAAATTATGCGAGGGGATACGGGGGCAGTGGGGATGTCGGGATTCCCTGTAAAGGACACCATGTCTAAAAGTTCCCTGAAAAATATATTCGCCCCGCACTGCTTCCGCTTCCCTGCTTGTCTGTTCGTCTGAAATAAGCATTTAGAGTCTCCGTGACCCCTAGAATCCCTAGAACAATTGCCCATTTGACCCTACGCAGATATTCCCTCTCGCGTCGCCCTGGAAAGCGCTGTCCGCTAGACGCGCGAAGACGCCGCTCCGCTCGCTCAATGGGCGGATGGTCGACTTTCTGGGCGCATGGCCTCCGTAGCTTGAAAAAAACTTCGTGGAGTCTCCGTGACCCTTATGCGGTTTGCCGAAAAATGCGGTTGACCATGACCCCGAAGAAAAGGGGGGGCAGAAGGAGACTCCAAGTTGCAACCGCATGACCTGCCCCGTTGCGTTGCGCACGGGAAACCCCAGCTGGAATAAAAACCGGGGCGATCAAGTCATCGAGAAGGGCGCAACCCAACCGGGGCCTAGTCAAGCGGTTTCATGAAGGGAGCGGCGGCACCCAAACAATTGACTGGATGGTTCTTTGCCCCTTGTTGTTTGATCTTTTGGTAGGGTAAAAAACATGGAAAAGGCACTGAAGTCTGTCTGAGTTTGAGTTGACACCATTTTGTTGGTGGGTTGAAAGGGAAGCTAGAAGGAAAATCAGCATTTTGGGGGGTCCAAATCCTAAAACATGACACCCCCAATTGTTTCCGAACAGTCTTTTCTGTTCAGGGCGCTAAGGGGTCACGCCGGTCAGCCACGTTTCGCGGCTAGGCTTATTACCCTAATGCCAGGAAAAAAGGCTCATGGGGGCTGGGGGGGAGGGAGGGGGTGGGGGAGCGCAAATAAGCCCTTACTAAGGCTTTATTAGGGGCTTAATCAGGGCTTATTGGGCTCCCTCGCCCTCCCCTCCCTCCCCCCAGCCCCTATGAAAGACGGTAGGCAATGCCAACCATTTCGCTAGCTCCTCGAATCAACTTAACTTGCCCAGAGCTGGGCGGAAAGCTTTGCACAGATTCCGTGGGGTGTTCAATTCGGACTTGAGCAATTCACTTTGTTAGGCCAGCTGTCACAGCATATCTAGGTCCTCCAGTGGAGAGGTTAGTACAAGGGTACTTCTTTTTCTGTAGTCTATTTTAGTAGGGGAACCCTCCCCCAAAAAGGGGTTAAAAAGGGCACTACTGGGGGACCTAGATGTGTAACATGTTGAGGCAACACCTTAGGTTACTTTGCGGCACGTCGTCTATGTTCTCTCCATGGTCTTCAAGCTGAGCAACCCCAATCTGGCCATGTCTCTCTTGTCTGGCCTTCACAACACAATTGCTGAGCAAAATAACACGTTGCCGCATTTGGTTGTAGATGCCCAAGGCTATTGTTTTGAGTACATGTCAGCTTTCCTCTAATTGGTGGTTTGGATTGGTGGTTTGGTGATGTTCCGGGGTGGATGTCCAATTACCCTCTACATCCAGCATATCTCCATACTTCCCAGGCTTCTATTTGCGGCAGACTTGAACGTGGTTGATTTAAGGCCAACCGAATTCGCCTTGAACAACTGAGGAAGCATATTCAACTCCCAAACCACCAATCCACACCACCAACTACCTTGGCTGGAGCTAGGACCCCAGCTAAACATGAGATCTTTTTGTTCCTGGTTCGTGGAAAACCAAGGGGACCCCATAATTACAAGCAAAAACAAATTACAAAAATGGGGAGCTGACTCTGGGGAAGCTAAGGGTATTCAATGTTCAAACCACCAATCCACACCACCAACTAACCGTTGTGCCTGAGAACCTGAACCAAAAAAAACACCGCCCTCGCAGGTTTCAGAAACGAAGCTCGGACTCACAGCGCCGTGCAAGTCTTCGACTCCTCGCGCTCGGGTCCATCGCGCAGGGCTGGGTGCACCCCGGGGGGTTCTTGGAGCTCGTAGGCTGGAGAGGGGGTCAAAGGTCCTCCAAAAAAAAGTCTCATGGGCTCCTACCTAGACTCTCCATGACCGCTTGAAAAAGGGGTCACCCCATTTTTAAGGGTCATGGAGAGTCTAGGTAAGGGAAAAAGGAAAAGATAAAAACGAATCTGCCCCGTAGACATGTGCGAGTTGTAGCATAGCTGCGGGTTACAGAATGTAGGCCGGTCTTTTTTTGAGGGTAAGGAACACCATCTTTGGAGGGTCTAAACTAGTTTAAGGCAAACGCATGTGGCAAATAGCTCAGTTGCCCCGGATTAAAAGGCGATCGCCCTTTGGGTTGCCATGACTACACTCCCACCAATTCACCCGGAACCTGACGTTTCGGGGTTCCTGGCTTGGACCATTTTCTTTTTCAAGGGACCGGGTCCCGAATATGAGGTTGCATGTGAACAGGGTGGGAGGGTAATGTGGGTTGAACCCCGAAACGAGCCGTACTCAACACCGATCGGTACAAACATGGCGAACCCAAAGCCATGTAAAGAGTCACCAAGGCGGAATTCCGCACCCATTTGTGGCGAGGGGGAGAGTCCCTTATCCCGGGTTGAAGTTCATGTTTGTGTTGGCGACGTGAGCTGGACGCAATGAGGCGTCAGTCCGCTTCAGGAGACAGCAGCGACCCGGGTGGGCGGTGGTGTGTGTGTGTGTGTGTGTGTGTGTGTGTGTGTGTGTGTGTGTGTGTGTGTGTGTGTGTGTGTGTCTGTGTGTGTCTGTGTGTGTCTGTGTGTGTCTGTGTGTGTCTGTGTGTGTCTGTGTGTGTCTGTGTGTGTCTGTGTGTGTCTGTGTGTGTCTGTGTGTGTGTGTGCGTGTGTGTGAGTGTGTGTGTGTGTGTGTGTGTGTGTGTGTGTGTGTGTGTGTGTGTGTGTGTGTGTGTGTGTGTGTGTGTGTGTGTGTGTGTGTGTGTGTGTGTGTGTGTGTGTGTGTGTGTGTGTGTGTGTGTGTGTGTGTGTGTGTGTGTGTGTGTGTGTGTGTGTCTGTGTGTGTGTGTGTGTCTGTGTGTGTGTGTTTGTGTGTGTGTGTTTGTGTGTGTGTGTGTTTGTTTGTGTGTGTGTGTGTGTTTGTGTGTGTGTTTGTGTGCGTGTGTCTGTTTGTGTGTGTGTGTGTGTGTCTGTTTGTGTGTGTGTCTGTGTGTCTGTGTGTCTGTGTGTCTGTGTGTCTGTGTGTCTGTGCGTCTGTGCGTCTGTGTGTCTGTGTGTCTGTGTGTCTGTGTGTCTGTGTGTCTGTGTGTCTGTGTGTCTGTGTGTCTGTGTGTCTGTGTGTCTGTGTGGGTGTGTGGGTGTGTGGGTGTGTGGGTGGGTGGGTGGGTGGGTGTGGGTGTGGGGTGGGTGTGGGTGTGGGTGTGGGTGTGGGTGTGCGCGTGCGCGTGCGCGTGCGTGTGCGCGTGTGCGTGTGCGTGTGTGCGTGTGTGCGTGTGCGTGTGCGTGGGCGTGCGCGTGCACGTGGGCGTGGGCATGGGCGTGCGCGTGCGCGTGTGCGTGTGCGTGTGCGTGTACGTGTACGTGTGGGTGTGTGTCTGCGGTGTGTGTGTGTGTGTGTGTGTGTGTGTGTGTGTGTGTGTGTGTGTGTGTGTGTGTGTGTGTGTGTGTGTGTGTGTGTGTGTGTGTGTGTGTGTGTGTGTGTGTGTGTGTGTGTGTGTGTGTGTGTCTGTGTGTGTGTGTATGTGTGTGCGTGTGTGGTGTGTGTGTGTGTTGTTTTTGGTTTTTCGGGGTTGGCCTTTGTTTTTGTGCGTTGGTTTCGATTTCGTCCCCCTTTCTCTCTGGTTGGGCTTGTTTCTTCTTCAGGGTCCCTTCTCTTTGAGGTCTTCTTTTTGGACGTTGTTGCCCAGGCGGCCCCTCTGCTTCGGTCGTTTCTTGACGGAAAAGCTGTCCTAATTGCGCCTTCACAAGAGTCAGGTAGGACGCAAGGGAACTGCAAGGGATGGCGATCAGCCTCTTAGACCTTTAGACAATATCAAGGTTCCTTGTGAGGGATACATGTTCCGGACTCAATTCGTATGTCATATTGTCGATCCGAATGTACGCGTAAAGATGGCACAGAATACACAAACCTAGATACTGCAACAAAAGCCTTTAAACATGTTTTTTGTTTTTTTTGTTTAAGGAAAAACATGAACACAATGATAAAATGATTGACAGTGTATTTTTACTTTCCGAGTTTCACAGGGGGTAGATCTTCCGCTCCCAACAGGTTTTGGCCCTAGTAGCTCGATGATCCCTTGCGAACAGCAACAAAAGATGGTGGGATATGTGATGCCCAAGTACCTTCTAAGGAGGTACTTAGACACCTTTTTGGCCCCCAAAAGCCATCCTCATGGGGTACTTGGACCCTCTGGGAAGTCCAAACGTTTCAGGGCATGCCTAGGAACCGACCTTGGTTTGGGTCTTTGGCCCTGAGCCTCTTTCCAATGAGAAAACAGCAAGGGGAGCCATGCAAAGGTCAATGAGCCTTTTCCGAGTTGGCGCTGACTCAGTTGTGCGTTTTTCCCTTTTGGCTGGGGCTATACTTATTGGGGGGGTGGGTATTACAAAAATGATTTAACGATTAGAGCTAGGCCCAATTATAGATTCTATATTTTATTGGTTGCTTCACTTTGAGTTACAGGTAAAATGTAAAATGTATCCTAAGTCTACCCCAGATTTCAGTCACAATTCGGCGGAAGCTACGAGGAGTTGCCATATGCAGAACACCTGGTAGCTTAGCACCACCCCCATACTCAAAATACCCGCCTTTTTTCATGGTATTTTTGGGAACACCTGGTTTTCCATGGTAAGTACCTCCCTTTTTAGTAGAGGGTCGACATGCTACCCTCTAAAAAAAGGCCGGGTATTTGGAGTAGAGGGTAGGAAAAAAAGGGCTCTTGAGCGCCTCTCCTCGTGTATCTGCAGAATGCATCCGCTCTCACGGCGAACTTCTTTCCGATCCACGCGGGCTTCGGAGACTTCGGAGAGGTCAGCGGACGAGAGGTTCAGCACGAGCTGTGCCACCATGTGCCCCTGCGGGGGTGGATGGGCCATTTTTTCTAGGCGTTGATTCCTCATTCTTTTCAGCCATCGTGCTTTTCAAAAACCAGCAATTTCCCCAGGGTTTTTGTGGTTTTCTGGAAAGACGGATCCCTGGAAAGAATGGGGAAGCTACCCCTAGAATTTTACAGCCAGCTCCCCAAGTCGCAATGGGGAAAACTGCTTTTTCAGGTTGGAGTCTGTGAAATAGATCGAGCAGTTGTTCTTGCGGTTTCAACCTACCAACTCAAACAAAACACACAACCGCTTCTCTTTGGTTTGTATATCACATATCAAAGGGGTTCCTCCTCTCCAAAGGAAAAAACGGAAGCACCCCTGAGGTCTGGGTTATGATGTGGGGCACTGATTAACCACCCCCCCTCCCCCGCACGCACCCCTCAAGGCAAATTTTGCGCTCCATAGGGAAGACATGCAAAGCAATTCGGGTCAAATGGGGATTTCCCAAGTTAGTATCGGTTAGTATTGGCTTAGCATTGTTTTGGTATTGGTTTGGTATTGCTTTGTGCTGCTTTAGTACTGCCTTAGTTTTGGCTAGCATTGCTTTACTATTGCCTCATGCTGCCTTCGTACTGGCTTAGTATTGGTTTGCATTACCCAGAGGCTCCCGATGTAAGCAGGGCCCTCAAACACCCCGGTTTGGAGACCCCCAAACACCTCCGGGGTGTCTAATGGAGGGAGTTTAGTATGAGTGAAGAATTGCATCGTTTGTCTTCGGTCCTCTTCAATCCCCTCTGTGTCTAGTGCCGGTTTTGAGTTTCAGTATTCCTTTGAGAGGCCCAGCACTGTTCAGAATTGCTCTACCTAGAGTCTCCATGACCCTTTTTCTTTTTCTTTTGGGCAATGATCCCATTCTTTTAGGGTCATGAAGAGTCTAGGTTGTATTGCTTTGTGCTGCCTTCGTACTGGCTTTGCCCTAGCTTAGCATTCCAAATATTCCAAATTGGTTTGTTGTGGTTTCGTAGTGGTTTAGTAGTGGGCTGGTTTTTCGGCCTGGCTAATGGTTGCACAAGTGGCTATCTGTTTTGTCATTTCTATGATTGAGTACTTGGGGTGGCCACGAACTGCTACTAATTACCCTCTTGCAAATTTGCCGTCTGAGACCTTTTATATAAAGGAGATGCAAGGAAATCAGCGGGTTCGGGATGGGTGTTCTTTGCAGAGATATTCAGACTTGATACTCGGAAGAAAGAAGTCTACCTAGAGTCTCCATGACCCTTTAAAAATGGGGCATGACCCGAATCTTTCTCTTGGGTAACGACCAACCATTTTTCCACAGACTCCAGAAGGGTTGAAAAGCGTTTTTACCTGGTTCTCAGCACTGTTTCGCCAGAACACACTGTAAAACACGGTGTTTTGTAGCATTTTGTCATGTTAACATCACATCCCCACCAACACCCGGTCTCTTTTTCAAGGGTGGAGAGTCTAAGGAGGGGAGTCAGCAGGTCCAAAGCTCCAAACTTCGGGCGGCGCAAGCTCATTGCAAGCGAGCCAGGGGCTAAGGGTCCTCCAGTGGGAGATCCGAATAACTCGGTTTTCCCTGGAACAAGTTCCCCATGAGCCTAGGTCCCAACAGGGTATTCCCATTAGCTTAGGTCCCCAATCGATTCTTAAGCAAATGGAAGACTCACTTGCCCAAAGGACCTGGAACTAAAAGGTGATCACCTTTTGTGGCCATGACTAAGTATGGACCAAAATTGGAGAACCAAAAGGTCAAAAGGTCGGCTTTGAACAACTGAGACAAGGGTACCCCTTTGTTCTGCAGAAAGGAGAGGGTCAAAAAAGGAAACAAAAGGGGAAGAAGAACTGCATTTCAACTAGGTCTCCAGATTTCAGAGGTTAGAAGGGCACATTTTGTTCTGTAGTCTATTTTAGTAGGGGAACCCTCCCCCCAAAAAAGGGGTGAGAAAGGGCACTGGGGGGCCTAGGCAAGGAGGGTCTTTTCAAAAACATGAAGAAAGCATGGACGAATGGAAACCCTAGTAAACCGGCCCCCGTCTGAAGTCTAGCTACCTGACACACTTTTATGTCGACTCGCTCGTGGCTCGGGAAACAAAACAGGGCGGAAACCAACAGCGACCTAGACTCTCCATGACCCTTGGAAAATGGTTGGTCATTGCCCAAAGAAAGATTCGGGTTTGTCTGGGGTTCACGGAGAATCTCGGGAGAAACCTGGTGATACTGTGGAAGGACGAAATCCTGCACCACCTAACAAACCCTGAATGCCAACAAACAACGGTTTCAACCATGGTTTCCAAGTGGTGAGAAATGGATTTCGCAACCATCCACAGTATGGAATTGGGCAATACGTCTTGGCGATCTCAGTCTATGGAACGCATCTCTCCGAGTCGCTGGCTTACCAGGCGCACGAACGCACACGAAATCTCGAAAACAGATTCTCCATCCCCGACGATTTACCAGTGACACAATGGTGAAGCCTAACTCTAAATCATGCAATGATTTGCTTCTCCATCCCCAGAGGCTCCCGATTTATAGGGGCCCTCAAACATCCAGGTATTGAGACCGGGTCCCAAACACCTCCAGGGTGTATCGAGGGTCTAAGTCTTCTCTTGAAAGGCCTAGCAGCCTCTGGGTACCTAGACTCTCCGAATCTGACCCTTTAAAAATGGGCCGGGTCATGACCCAAAAGAAAGATTCGGGTCATCGCCCGGCTCATTTGTTCATGGTCAGATTCGGAGAGTCTAGGTCTTGGTGCTCAAACTTCACCAAAAGAATGTCCGCCCTTGGGCCCTTACTTAGATGGTCTGGGACTTAGCTAAATGGTTAGTAACCCTGGTTTTAGGGGACTTACAACCATGCTAAGTGGGCTACGACCGGCTACTAGCCACTTAGCTGAGTCCCACCTAGAAGACTCTCCATGACCCTTGAAAAATGGGGTCATGACCTTTTTTTGGGTAATGACCTCCGTTTTTGAAGGGTCATGGAGACTCCAGGCACGTTGAACATTTTAGTAGGACCACAAATTCCGACGGCTCCCAGGAACCTCGACAGCTCGCCTCCTGCTTACTGAGAAGGAGCTGGCAGGAGCAAGGCGGGTAACCCATCATTTGCAGCTGCATCGTCACCCTGTCCTTGGCTCGCATTTTTAATTTGCCGCCAGGCCAGAGTCAACGACCCCCTGCAACAAGTTAGAGGTGTTCTTTTATGCTACGCATTTTTTTGATCCGCCGGGCCAAGTGAAACGACTCCCTGCAACAAGTTGGAGGATTTGTTGTTGTTTCAAACACCACGAAACTCGGGAAACTGGGAAGGGCAGAGGGCACGAAGGTCAGTTGAGTAGCTTGCTTAGTCTGGCAATCAAAGGGAGAAGGGGCTTCATGTGACACTCTTTAAAGGGAAAGCACCGTGAAACAGTTCTCCCAGTTTGTTTGGGGGTCTCAAAACCTGGCTGTTTGAGGGCCCTAAATACATTGGGAGCCTCTGGGGGGGAAGAAGCAAATCATTGAAGGTCTGCGACAGCCAGAAACGAAAATCAACACCTCTTGGTTGACGTTGGAAGGGGATTTAAAAATTTATTTTTTAGCAGTCAAGTGGTTGGATATCAGCCACTCAACCACAATAAGCAAACATGGGCAACATGTTTCCCAACAACAAGCATGACCTTGCACCTCTCAGGAATGCTCCGAATAGGCGCCCAAAGCCTTCAACGGACGTGCCTGTGGGGCTTGGTAGCTTGGGGCGAAACCAGGCGGAAACGCAAGTCCCCTCATTTTGACAAAAGTTCTTGATCTGGTTCTTGGGCTGGTTCCAAAAGTTCTTGATCTGGTTCTTGGGCTGGTTCCCCCTTTATTCCCAACAAAAATGCAAGTCTCAATCTGTTGCGCAAGTCCCCTCATTTTGACACCCCCCCAATATGTTCAGATAGTGCAAGCAGCCAACTGATGGACCATCGGCCAAAAGACTGGAGGAGGTCCTCCGTGGAAAGTGAAACCATGACCTTCAATGTGTTTTTTCGGCCCCGGCAAAAAACGAGCAAATATGTCCAGTAGTGAAATCGATTCCAATGGATTCCCTTTAAAACCAACAAGGGAAAGACATAGTCTTGAGCAAATGGAAGATGAACAAAGGTAAAACCAAAGCGAAACCACTTCTATGTTCAGCCAAATTGACTCAAAAGAAGCGGGGGCAAGCACACACTAAACATGAACAAAACCAAAGAAACAAAACAAACAGGTAAAACATATGCCAACTAGTTTGGTCTGCGTTCAACACTAAACCTAGGATCTGAATATTATCATTGTTCAGCATTCTTGGCACGGGCAAAAATGTCTCAGGTGGTCCCACACGTTGACATACAAGTGGCGACAAAGGTGAAAAAACGCAAAATTCGGGAACACCAGCCCCTCTACAGGATACATCTGGGGTGAGTGAATTCAATATCAGTGGTGTTAGATGCAGTTTCATAGGCATACTTGAAGGTGAACAGCTTACGAATGGGAGATGTTGTGCAAAATACTCTGTGAAGCCTGGGTCTAACTTAGGGCTTTGTCTTTTTGTTCAGGGGACCCGTCCAAAATGGATCTCTGGTTTCCGTTTCTTTGGGGGATATTTTGAGACCATTTGGCGGCCCGGCGTGCTGCAGGAAGGACCTGTGAATCTTGAGAATCCCCAAAACATGGGCTCGACGGCCTTGAAAAAAGCCGCGGCTCTCCGAGAAAGGGGCTAAGCCCGGCAGCCAGGTGGGGAGTGTCTCTTTTTTCTTTGGGATAGCCCCCGTAGACGTGACCTGAAAATTACAACAAAACTAAAGTGGCAAACACAAGGTGACATGCAAATCATGACGAAATATGAACTGACCCAAACTGGGTTGGGGTTGTAACCCACTTACTTTGGCTCCAAGTCTTCCAAAACAGTGGGGATTGCCAATTCGCGATTCCTCCCACCCGACTACTGCCCGAGCCTTCAACAAAAAATGTGTTTTGAGGGCCCTGACGTGTCCCTTTTTTGAGGGCCCTACTGTGGATGGACCATATCCTGCACCACCCAAGAAACAATGGGGAAGCATTGGCTGTTGGTATTTACAGGGGAATCATCATTCCCCAGGTTTCTTTGGTGGTGCAGGATGTCGTCCATCCACAGTAGGGTTCATGAGCATCTGGGCAGACTATCTGAGAGCCGTCGTTGGGGCCTTAGAACCAAGACTCCGTGTGCTGATCCGAGTAGGAGAGTCGGTTGATCTTGTCGGTGACCTTCTTCTCAAAGGGCTCCTCGAGAATCAGCACGCACCCTCTTTGACAAAGATATCCTTGGAATCTGCTGGTAAATTTAAGTCAATTAGGTCCTCCAGTAGAGGAGTTAGAATAAGGGTACCAACTTTTTTCGCTTGTCTATGTTAGTAGGGGCACCCTCCCCCAAAAAAGGGGTGAGAAAGGGCACTACTGGGGGACCTAGAAGAGATCCTTGGAATAAGTTGGTAAACGTTAAGTCAACCTTACAACCCCTGGTATGGTAGCAAAACACTTGCAGCCCCCCACTAGAAATGAACAGAATCAAGCAAAAACATAACGAGATGCCAACAACAGAGTAATGGTAACTTAAGTCAACTGGCCATGTAAGGATCCCAGTCAAATACACTGCGGGTGGACAAAATCCATTTCGCAATAGCTAGGTGGGTTCCCCCTCTTAGGGATTTATCCATGGCCTAGGAGGGCCGCACTACAAACCAATCCAAACTGGACTATCCTCAGATCCCCTGCTCAAAGTTTAACTTGTGGGTGAAAAATACAACTACCACTAAACCAAAATGTGGCTGAAAAATGGCAACTACCAACAAAACCAACCAAACCCAAAAGCTAAGTTGAACCGGATGATTCGCTGGGGAACCACCCAGAAACATGGATCAGCATGACTCCATGGATCCGTCCATACAAGCCGCCCACATAAAACCAAGATGGGAATCAAAACGAAAACTCTGACAGGCAACCTGGAGTCTCCATGAGCCTTAAACAAAATGGTTGGTCATGATCCCGAATCTTTCTTTTGGGTCATGAGCAACCATTTTGGGCTCCATGTTTTTGAGCCACAGCCAAGGAAACCCTTCCCCCCAAAAAAAAACAGAAAAAACGGGTGCCACTGGGCAACAGCGGCAAGAAGCAAAAACACGAACGACCCGACGCCGACGCTCGCTCCCGGCAGTGGGGCGCCAAATACTCCGTGATCCGGCGCCGGGACTCAGGGAAAAGGCACTGGAAAGCCTGGCTGTGTCGATTTTTTCGGCCATCAAATGGATTTCTTTGGTTTCCGTCTGTTGGTTGAATGAACCGTTTTGAGATTCCCAAATAAAGGAAACCATAGGGTTGCTCGAAGTACCTGCCATTTCCATTCTTTCCAATCCGAATCGTTCTAAACCTCCGGAATTCAAACCATCTGCATGTCCGAAACTCACGGTTTGAGCACGAGGGTGCTGGGCCCATGGTACCAAAGACTACATGGCTGTGGCTCAAAAAAGTGGTACCAAAATGGCACCTTGGTAAATGGAGCCCAAGACTAAAACCCGCGTAACCCCAGCTCTTTAATTTTGAGCCATACCCACATGTTTAGATGAGTCACAATCCAAACCCGGTATCAAAATGGTCGCAAACCCAGAGCCATGCTTCAAGCACGCAGAACACCTAGAATGATGAGATTCCCCAACGACCCATGGCTTCAACCATGGTTTCACAGTCGAGCTATACAGTTACACTGAAAATCTGGAATTAAAATGGTAACCCCAGAAGCATGCTTCAGGAATGAAGAAGGCGGAATGCCGCAGCAATGTTTATGGTTGAGATTGTCCCTGACTAACCTTCATCTACCCGGGTTTTGATTGTGGCTCAAACGGATTTCCTTGGTGGTGCGATAGGTAGGGAGCGACTTTCCGAGTCCGGGTGTTGATAATTTGGAAGAGGGTTCCTTTGAAGGAAACCGGCAATTCTTCCTATCCAAATCTTTCTAAACTCTGGACACCCAGGTTGAAAACGGCGATCCCGTAGATTGTTGGTGCGATAGGTAGGGAATGACCATCCGTGCGTGCCCAACCTTCCATGCGTTCTCTTGCAGATTAACGTGGAACTCCACAGTCGAGAAGAAGGTTTCAAGAACAATTTCTAGAAGAGCCAAACAAGGTGGCCTGAAGGCATGGTGTTGGAAAGGTCTCTTCAAGTATGGCCCTCCTGCCCCCAATAGCATCCGCTCCGCACTCAAATCTGGCCCCTCTGCCCTACTCATTTTGTTCGCATAATACTACTGCTCAGCTTACGCCTTCCCCTTAAGGGGTCCTGAAGAGGACACAACCAACGATTGCTCCCCTGTAAATGCAACCCCAGAAAAGCTTCTTGAAACAATGGTGGCTACAGCATGTTGAAACCAACGGCCCGACCTCAGAATCAACCCCTAGAAGTTCTTGTAGATGGATGCCAAATCCATTTCGAACGAAATCCACCATTCAGACGCGCTGGGTGTTTGCGTTCGATTCCACCTGTTTAGTTCCAACCAACGTTCCCTAGGCGCCCAAGACAGACCCAAGACCCGAGGTCCAAGGGGCTCCTGGTGTTTTCATTCCCGTGGCTAGGCCTCCATTCACTGAGAAGTCCCCCGAAGAAAAATAAACAAAAAAACAGGTAGTGAACGCGGATTCCCCTCGAAAGAAACAAAACACGGAAACAACTGAAACAAAGTAGTGGAAATGGATCCCCTCTAAAAAGACCAACAGCTGGAAAATAAAAGGGGCTGGACCCAACAAGCAAGGGTTGGTTTTCCCTGGAACAGTTTCCCCATCAGCCTAGGTCCCAACAGGGTATTCCCATTAGCTTAGGTCCCCAATCGATTCTTCAGCAAATGGAAGACTCACTTGCCCAAAGGACCTGGCAATAAAAGGTGATCACCTTTTGGGACCTTTACTAAAACTGGTTGCCAAAATGGCAAAAGCCTCAAAAGGTCCAAAAAGGTCGATTCGCTTTGGGCAAGTGAGAAGAAGGTGCAGGACCCGCCATCAACGCTCCGAGAGACCCGCCACGAGCGTCGCGCGACCCATCCTGCGAGAAGCCCCGGCATTTCCAGGAGAAAGGATCGAACTCCACGACCTGTGGGCGTACGAAAATTCTACCCATGTCTCCATGACCAGGGGTTTTACCATGGTGCAAGATGTAGAACCAAGAAGTACCTAGACTCTCCATGACCCTTAAAAAATGGTTGGACATTGCCCAAAAGAAAGGGGTCAAATGGGCCCATTTTTGAAGGGTCATGGAGAGTCTAGGGGTAACGCTTACCTAGACTCTCCTTCTGACCCTTGAAAAATGATTGGTCATTGCCCCCAAAAGATTCGGGTCAAATGGACCCTTTTTCTAGGGGTCACAGAGACTCTAGGTACCACAATTCCAAGGCCCCTAGAGTCTCCTTTTTGACCCCCAGAAAAAAGGGCCCATTTGACTTTTGGGCAATGACCAACCAGTTTTTAAGGGTCATGGAGAGTCCAGGCCCATTCTTTCCAGGAATCCGAATCTTTCTAGAAAACCACCAAAAACCCTGAAGAAATGGCGATCGGTTTTTGAAAAGAACGATGGCTGAAAAGAATGGGGAATCAACCCCTAGAAAAATACAAAAACGCCTCCCCTGAAAGTCGATGTTCTATTGAATTGATACTAGATATGTGGTTTTGAGGCAAAGTCAAAAGGACACCGAAGCCATTCTTGGGGGTCGAATTCCTAAAACCGACACACCCAGATCAGCTTCCCTCGAATTGGTGGTTTGGATTGGTTAGGGAGGGGTTTCCCATTTACCTTCTACAAGAACCAGGGGGTTAAATCCCCAAACCTAAAACTTGGTTTTGTCGCGAGAAGAGAACAAAACCAGGACTCGCAAAGCCAATCTCCTGAAGGAACCTGCTTGTCCCCTACGCCTACACCCAATATCCACTGTTTCCAGTGATAGTCACTGAACAGTGAGTTGTTTAAAATGGAAATTATGGTTGTTCCCAATGTTTCACTCCCAGTGCTTTGTTGGGTGTTGATCATCGTAGGCTACCAACATTGCTTTCCCCCTTTGGTCCGGACATGAGGATGTTGGTTCATGGCATTCACGCTACATGTGGCCTTGGGATCCCATTCTTACGGCACTCTTGAGCATAACTCGAACAATGCCATCTTTTTCAGAGAAAAAAACAACAACAAACAACAAAACGATGAATCCCACACCTCCAATTCTTCACCCCGGCGCCGTGCTTAAAAAGCACCCCGAGTATTAACACGGCGGCGTGCTTAAGCCGTGAAAGGTTGGGATTCAGGTTCAGCTTCGGGCACCAAGACAGCCTTTTTGTGTGAAGGAACGCGGTCGCATGACAACCACCAATTTTTATGGGCCCCCTATTGATTATTAGACATATTTATTATGAGAGAAACCCAGGTACTTTTTGTTTCAAGCTTAAGGGCCCTTAGCATTCCCTTGGCTTTACTTCGCATCCCTCACAATGGGAGTGGGGTGTTCTTTCCAGCGCCGTTCATGTCCCTGACACCATGGAAAAAAGAGACAGACCCAGCTGGGAATGCAAGCCGGCTCATACTGTGGATGGGACGAAATCCTGCACCGCTTTGAAGCTGGAAACAATTGAAACCATGGAAAACAATTGTTTGTCGGTATTTACAGGTGAATCATCATTCCAGGCTGTCTCAGGTGGTGCAGAGTTTGTCCACCCATAGTCTGAAAGAACGTGGCATGAGCACTTTTGCCAGGCCGGGGCACATGGCTCGCGGGCACAGCTGTACTGGAGGTCGATTGGGTCGATTGAAGGCAGGACTCCCCATATTCACCTCGGATCTGGCGCAACGACTCCTGCAGAACGTTTCTAACATTTTGGGTCGGAAAATCCACCGAGTGTCGCTCCCAAAACTTGTTCAGTCCAAAGATCCCTTACCGAATGGCAGAGGGATCAGTCTCATTTAACCTGAGCCCTTGAAGGTTCACACATGATCCGCAAGCCGCCAGCTGCAACCCCTGCAAAAACCCTTCATAGAACTCGATTCGAGCGCCAGTGGATTGAGCAGAAACTCTGCCCCAACTGGTGATCAACCGTGAGCACGTTTCTTGGCTGGAATTAGGACCCTAGCAAAAAATATGTTTTTGTCTGGTTAGTGGAAAACAAAGGGGACCCCAAAAAAGCAAAAACAAAAAAAAGGGAACTAATTCTGGGCAAGGTTTGAAGTCCGGAAAGTGAGGGATTGAGCAGTACCAAAACATCCCAAAAGGTCGGGCAAAAGAACATGGTGTTGAAAACAGGGTGCTCAAAACTTGCTGGTTCTCAGCAGGGAATGAGAGAATGATGTCCTTCGATCGCTCCCGCAAGAAAAGTGGGGGTGATCAAGAAGGGGTGTTCAACAGGGTGTCAAGTTCCAAAACAGGGGGTTGTCTTTGAAACAGGGTGCCTGTTTTAAAAAGGGTGCGTTCGAAAGGGTGGGTTTCTTCTTTTGCTAAACAAAACAAGTGTTCGTACGTGGATGCTCCCAAAACGGGTGTCCAAGAAAGAGTGTTCAAAAGGGGGTGTTTAAAAGTAGGAATCGAAAAGGGGTGTTCAACAAAAAGACACAGGGAGTATGAGAAAGAGCCCAGCCCACGAAACCCTAAGCCTGCCGATTGCCTTTGGGGGACCTACAAGGCGAATTACTTAGATTTGAGAGATAGCTAAGCGGCTAGTAAATAACCCCTCAAGAAGCGGAAATATCTTGCTGGACTCTCTTTTCATCTCCATTTGCTCAAATCCCCTGCACAAACAACACACAACATATTTCGATTGGTGGCAGATTGCACTCACAAGCAACCAGGGGAGAATAGAACATATTCCTTAGCAAATGGAGCTTAATTATGGGTATAGTTTGAGGGTCCTGACATCTTTCTTTTGGGTAATGAGCCACCATTCTGTACGGGTCATGCAGACTCCAGGTAGTGTGAGGCTCCAGGGAGCCTCAGACCAGAAAACCTCCCGAAGCCGAAGGCCGAAGGGCGCATCCCCAGCAAGTGCCGCTCTCCGATGGTGGACTGGAAGCGCACGTGGAAGCACTCGACTGGGACGGTGGTGCCTGAGTCAAGTTTCAAAATTGGCCAATGCCTGGGGGAAAAACTGTGGATGGTTGCATAAAACATGGCAATGAAAAAACATGCTGGTATTTACATGGGACACTTCTGCGGATGGTTGCGAAAATCCACAAATCGCAAAATGACAAACATGGGAATAACACCATAACGTTTGTTGGTATGTACGTTGGGGAATCGACTCATTCCAGAGTTTCTTTGGTGGTGCAGGATCTCGTCCATGCACAGTACTACTCAGAGCTTCCAGTTACCACTGTGCTCGGTTGCTTTCTGCTCCCCTGCTAAAAGTTTAACTTTTAGTGGTTTACTGGCAAACCCAGTAGTTTGCAAAAAGTTAAAGTCCTAACATCCCTTGGCAAAATGAACCAAAGTGTAGTAAGTAACCAGGTATGACTTCTTGGTTCTACATCTTACACCATGGTAAAACCCCTGGTTACCTTCCCTGGGTGCGTGCCTCTTTCTTCGGGGGCCACCCCAAAATGGCTTCGGTGTTCCTTTTGGCTTCCGTATTTTTAGCCATCCAACAGAGGGTACCCGAAAAAGCAAGACACACAGATCAAAATCGGGAACGTACCCACATTTGGGTGTATCTCTTTTTGAGCCCAACCTTAGAAGGTTGGGTTCAAAGGGAAACCAACCAAAAGACAACCATCCATCTCGTCTTCCACTTGGTTTTCGACCAATGGAAAAAAAGTATTTCCAGTAGAGATAGATACCCTTCAAAAGCAACAGGGAAAATACAAACTATTCTTAAGCAAATGGAAGTTGTGGGTTCCTCCAATTTTGAGACAAACTCATGTTTTTACCTGGGGAGTTTGTGCCTCCAACAGTTGCTTGCTGGCTAATCGATGGTTCACTGGGCTACATGGTTAGCTGTCCAGCATCCAAACATGCATACCTCCCATTCCAACTGGACCTACCTGAAAATTGCATACACGAAATAGGCACACGCACCCAAGAGCGTCCAATTCAGGTCTGAAAAGGAACATCCATCTGCATGTTTCACAAGAATTCCAAAGCCTGAAATAAGGGATCCACCGAAAAACAAGATCTTTACCATGATGAGCTCGTGTTACCAGCTCGTGTTACCAGGTGAGCCCGCTCTCAGATCCATCCCCATCCAAAAGCGCACCTGCGCTGTCGCGCATCTTCAGGTGAAAGGCCGCCGCCGTTGTAATGCCTGAGCCACGGAATTCAAACAAAAAGCCTCACTGGAGTCGACGCGCCAGAAGTCACTAAAAGATGGCACCGCAAAAAGAAGGCGAGCAAAGCCCAAATCGGGGCATGACGAGCGAGCAAAACAAACAAAAAACAAAAACACGGTTTAGCGACTCACTTTCGGAGTGGCTTGGCCGGTCGAGAAAGGTTTTGTAAAGTCCAGGAACTCAGGGTGTGAGACATCTCCTTACCTGGAAGGCCGCTGAAACAACTGCAGTCCCAGTAACAGACACCCCAGTTACAGTTGTTTTTTTCTTTTTTAAATGGGATTTGCTGGATACAGCTTTCACCTTGTCTTAAAGGAGAACCGGAAAAATGCGCTCGAATAGAAGTAACACTTTAAACCCACACGTCTTGGCCCTTAACTACATCTCCCTGAGAATTCCATATAAACCCCCCTTGAAATCTCTGTTCACCCAGCCCCCCTTCGTCTCTCCCACCGCGGTGCCCTGACGCTCTCTACGAATCTCCTTCAGGAACAACGCGCGGTCGGTCTCCTTGACGAACTGTTGGAGTTCCTCGTCCTGCCAACCAATTCGCTCGGAAAACCCGGCGTCCCGTCCGAAAAAGGCCCGGAACAGAGTGAAAATTCAGCTCTGTGTTCCCAATGCACGGTGACCTTGGCTGCAACGACCCCTCCGCAAAAAAAAAAAAAACAACACATCTTTTGCAGCTATGGAAAATCCACGAAGTTTCAACCAAACAGCTGTTCAGTCTAAAGATCCGTTGCCAGATAGCTAGAAGGACATGGGCTCCAGAAATTTCAGAAAAAAACTCCACCCAACATGCAACATGGGCTTCGGCTTCCCTTTAATTTCCACCCAAAATGGTCGCTGGTACCCTGAAAACGAGGACACACCCAAAAACTTGCCACAAGCTGCGGGGGGTTTAGAGGCCGGGTTCTGGGAGGAGCTGGGAGTACCAGCTGGGTGATTTTTTCCAAGCGAAACCTACCACTCCTCCGCCAAACATAAGCCCAGGTGCTATCCCCAAATAGTTTCAGGTGATATTTTTCAGGTATGCCCAGGTGATCTCAGGTGGTATCTTTTCAGGTGATTTTTTTCAGGTGATACCCCTGGCGGTATCCCCAGATATAATATCACCCAGAACCCTTCTGGAACCGTTTCTGAAAGCTGGCCCAAACCCATCTAGAGCCTATCTGGGCAGAGACCCCATAGCTTTCAGCTGTTGAGCATTCCCAAAACGCTTGGAGTACTCGCCTTGCACTTGCTGGTTCCTCTTCGAACCAGAACCGCGCCTCGTTTTTCAGGACTCTTCGGGTTCATTTCCAAAGTCCCGAACTAGACTCCACTGAGAGCCAGCAAGATGACGCTCCAAAGAAAGGCCTGCCCATGTTTTTCAGGAGGCATGGGGCGGGCGGAGGGGGAATGGTCCGAGAAAGAAACAAAAAGGCACACGTTGGCAAGGTCAATGGGTTAACTACCAAGGGTGGTTGAATTGGTGGTGGACATATGGCCCGCCCCCGCGGTCAACGAATGCTTGAGAAAGCCCAATGGGCCAAGCTTGCGCACGACACTTCTGTGGGAGCCGCTTTTGTTCTTAGTTTTTTTGTTGGGGGGGGAGGGGGGGGGGGTTGGTTCACTGACCCCATGGATCTCAGGAATTTAAGGGTTCCCTTCGCACGAGACCCGGACATGGCCTCACTGGGAAAGGAGGTCCGATGGTCTGCGACGAATCGCGCGTTTAGTAAATAGGAATACAAAACTAACAAGCAAACAATCAAACAGAGAACATGGATACAGGGAAATGGACTGATGCGCCGCCTTACGCCCTTGATATGATGCCAAATATTTGTTCAAGCCATTAAACCCCTGCGGGTAGTGGTTTGGAGGAAGTGGAAGCCACGTTAGAAAACAAACACACTTGAGCCGCTTTGCCAATTGAGGTGCGCCCTTCTCGTTGATGTTGGGTGGTTCGCCCATGAATCAATGAAAGTCCTGTGCCTGTCTTGCTTCAACAAAAGCGAACAAAACTATTCTAGAGGTACCTTCCCCATTCTTTCTGGGGACCCTTCTTTCTAGAAAACCTCCAGAATCCCGAGGAAAGGCCGGGTTTTGGAAAAAGAAGCATGGTGGAAAAGAATGGGCAAGGAATCCAGCCCTAGAACAGGCGTCTGGCTCGAATGGATCAACAGAAGCCTCGGATCCCAAGGCCGGCAGCCAAATCCACAGTGGATGGGTGCGAAATCCTCTTAGGCACCACCTAAGAAACCTTGGGAATGAGACGATTCCCCAATGTAAATACCAACGCACGTTACGGATCCCCATTGTTTCTTGGGTGCGAAATGGATTTTGCCCAGAGTATGCAAAACAAGCTGCTTGACTTCTTTGTCGATACTGCGGGGTGCTCAGCAGCTAATTACTTGGCTGGGAACACATCGAGTGGATTGCAACGTTTGTTGAAGCAGGATTCCCGTTGAACTTGTTCGAATTTTGTGGCACACGTCGCCTCCAACAAAAGACACCTGTGGTCGCAAGAAGGGTACCGTGTTTGTGCTACAAAGCCATATTGGTGTGGCTCAGAATAGGGAAACTCCAACAATAGGGCGGAATCGCTTGAGTTTAACTCCCCCCACCCCCCACCAAAAAATGTAGAGTTGTTCTTTTTCAGGGCACCCTTTCTGGAGTGGATTTTAGGGAAACCAAAAGGACACCAACCATTGTGAATTCCCCTACTGACAGACGAACTCCTGCACCACCTAAGAAACCCCGGCATGAGGATTCCCATGGTTTCTCAGGGTTTCATTTCGTGAAGCGACATGGATTGCTAAAAAACTGCCCTGAACCCCGCAACCATCCACTGGAATGAACTCTTCCTAGACTCTCCTTCTGACCTTGAAAAATGGTTTGTCATTGCCTAAAAGAAAGATTCGGGTGAAATGGGCCCGTTTTCGAGGGGTCAGAAAGGAGACTCTAGGTTGAGACACACCCAATTTCCGGGTTCCCTCAACCAAACAAAAAACATCGGCACGCGGAATGAGTCCGTCCTCGGGCGAACCTTCTCGCCCGTGGAGCAGCCAGCAGTGCAAGTGCCGGCTGTCGCCTACAATCCTCGGCGCGAAAGCGAACATGAGTCACAATCAAAACCTGGTATAAAAATGGTCTACCCAGAACCATGTAGAGAATCAAGAAGGCGGCCGCAAGCTATTTATGGTTGGGATTCTCGCTTACTAACCTTCATCTACCGGGGATTTGATTGTGGCTCACATGATGTCAACTTGTCACTTGGAGTCCGACATATGCCATGGGTCAAAACCAATGGTACCATTTTGGGGTAGCTGCACCACCCATTTTAGTCTATTCTAGTGGGGATTGGGATGTTCACTGGGGGGCTTTGAGCCAGCATATGGCTGTGGGTCAAAACCCTCTACCCCCGGTGAACATCAAAATGGGTGGTACATGGGTGTTCATCCGCCCCAAAATGGAGGCATAAGTTATGACCCATGGCCATATATGGGTGTGTGTTTATTTTATGGACCCCCCTTTGGGTTGGTTTTTGGGAAATGAAAAGAAACAGCCACCATTGTTGCATGGTCGATCGAAACAAGGCACGCCTGTTCTCTCAAGTTTGTTCATTGATCCCTTGCCCATTTTGCGGGCTTGAGGGAACCCTGTGCTTAACTTCATTCATAGCGGACCACCAAGAAAAGGGCGGTCTTACGGGGTTGGGGTTCAACACAATTTCTAGGACAAGAGCTGACTTCCTAGAGTGGCTGTGAGACACCTCCCACGTATACATGTTCACTATGGCTTTGCTGCTCAATTCCAACTGACGTTCTGGGCGCCCCCAAACAGGAGCCAGGTATTCCTTTTGTGTCGTAAAGCAACCTGCCCTGACTTGCCCGACCAAAGTTCGAACTTGTTGGGCCTTTGCTACGATGAAGGAAGCAACAAACAGGGCGGCACTGGCGCCTGACCGCTCCTCCTCTGAGCGGCTAGAACCAGGACCACAAGCATTTTAGCCAAGTCTGAGCACTCAGCTTTGTAAACGGGCGTCTTCAAAGGGTTCTTGGTTGACGTTGGAAGGGGAGCAACAATTCAAATCTTAGCAGTTAAATGAGGATTTCCCACCAAACCACAATAACCAAAAGTGTAAAATGTTTCCCAACAACAACCATGGGTTGGTGCAAGGATGTAAACAAGCGCTGGGTTCTACAAAAATATATTACCCCATCACCGCTCCTGGAAGCACTGGGGCGCTAAAAAACTATCCAAGGTCAAAAGCGCCACCAATGCAGCGCTCGCAGGGATCCTTACATTATACACCTGAACATTGCCTTGTAAATGGTGGTTTCCATTTGTTTTGGTGAAAAAAAAAGCAATGTTTCAAATGGGAAAAATATATCTTTTAAGGAGCCCTGCGCAAGCTGTTGACATTTGGTCCAAGAGATGGGCGTAGCGGCGTAGCGGATTCTGGAATCCGTTTCCAACCCAAAGGCCACTCATCTGTTGATTTGGTTGTGGGCGCTGTTTATTTCGGCCCATCCCCATCTTTTGCAACACCACTCCAAAGAAAACGCGCACTCTGCATTGGGCTTCCCAAAAGGGGTAGCCAAAAGAAAAGAAAAACACATCTTTGGGACTCCAACTCCCATTTTGCTACCTAGAGTCTCCGTGACCCCTAGAAAAAGGGGTGATGACCCCATTATTTGGGGCAATGGCCCCATTGTTTAAGGGTCGTGGAGAGTCTGGGTACGTGTGGCTCGTGTTTTTTAGTCGCTACTTCGTGGTGGTTGTTCCTCGAAAAGAAAACCAAGAGCTCAGGTCAAAAGGACCAAAAGTCCAATGCGAAAGGACCTTTCGGGATGACAAAACATGGACCAAAATGGAGAAAATTCCAGGTCGAAAGGTCGGCCTTGAAGAATTGAGACAGGAACATCATAAGGAAAACCACCATTTTGGGACTCCACTCCCAAAATTGTTATGCATTTTGTTGAGGGTAGGTGTTTGAATCAGAAAACCGAAAGGTCTAGCTGTAGGGATCCTCCTCTTCAAAAAATGTGCCACTTTGGGAAAATGGGTGGTTTCTAAAGTAAACGATGGGTGAAGAGAATGGAATTGGAATCAACGTCTAGAAAAGGCAAAACAAAAGGCGCCATTTTGGGGTTCCGTCGACCAGCAACGCGTGGCAAATCCATCTCGGCTGAGGGTCTTGAGGTCCTCATCTAGCTCGACCACTGCATCACACACAGAGCCTCCGGGACTCTTTCCGTCTCCCCGAGAAAATGTTGAGTTTGGCTTGGTTTGGCTTAGTTTGATTTGGCTTGGTTGGATTGCACCTGTGTTGGTTGGTGTGTTGGTGTGTTGGTGTGTTGGTGTGTTGGTGTGTTGGTGTGTTGATTGGTTAGTGGGTTGGTTGGTTGGTTGGTTGGTTGGTTGGTTGGTTGGTTGGTTGGTTGGTTGGTTGGTTGGTTGGGTGGGTGGGTGGGTGGGTGGGTGGGTTGGTTGATTGGCTGGTGGGTTGGTTGTTTGGTTGGTTGGGTTGGGTTGGGTTGGGTTGGGTTGGGTTGGGTTGGGTTGGGTTGGGTTGGGTTGGGTTGGGTTGGGTTGGGTTGGGTTGGGTTGGGTTGGTTGGTTGGTGGGTTGGCTGTTTGGTGGGTTCGGTTGGGTTGGGTTGGGTTGGGTTGGGTTGGGTTGGGTTGGGCTGTTGGTTAGTTGGTTGGTTGCTTGGTTGGCTTGGATTTGATGGGCGCACTGTTGTCTGGGAGGAATCACTATATAACCGCAAAACCATGGCAAAGTGTGGCAATTCGGGAGGTTTCCCCTATTACCGGAACCTGCATTACTTCCATTTGCTCAAGCCCCTTGGAAAAAAAAGTCCAGTAGTGCTAGATACCCTTTAAAACCAGCAACACCACAAGAGGCCGTAAGCAGTACGATCGAACTCTGCCAGATTGGTTTGTTGGCAATGGGCAGGTCTTTACCCCCTTTCACTCATCTAAGTGGACAGGTGGCAAACCTTAACAGGAAATCGGTCTTCCAAGGCAAAAAACAAAAACATATTCTTAAGCAAATGGTTGAGTATTTCGGGCATTCACCGTGTCTCACTTGCTGAGCCAATTGGCCTCCTGGGTGGACAGGCCTCCAGCCATACGACAGGCGATTCAAACGTCGCTTTTCGGGCGATTCAAAGGACTGCGGCCGAGCAAGGGAAATCGAACCCTCAGTTGCCCCTTCGGGACCTGCAAATAGACTTGGTTGACGTTGGAAGGGCAGCAACAAAAATAAATCTTAGCAGTTAAGTGGGGATTTCCCACTAAACCACAACAAGCGAAAATGTAAAATGTTTCCCAACAACAACCATGTAGAAGGCTATATAACTTAACCTTTTGTGACCATGACTAAATATGGACCAACATGGGAAAACCCTCAACAGCTCAGATCTAGTCGATTCGCTTTGAACAGCAGCGCACTTCCTGAGGGTTGCCCAAGCAGTCGAGAAAGTAAACATGTTTGCCGACAGATGCCGACAGGTTCCCGGGCCTTCAAAAACATGCTTTTGAGGGCCCTGAACTGTTTCTACTAGGGGTCGGTTTCATCCACGCGCGTCTGAGGAACTCCGGAAGTGAGAAAACATACACTTAGCCCACTGGGAACCGACGATTCACAGCCTGCCCAGGAAACACCAACTGGGAACCAACGGCAGGAACAAACAACAGCTGAAATACACAAAGGCTCTTCAAGCGAACCTAAGGTTGGAAACACAGCTTGAGATGCAATTACTCAACGAGGCGATGCGGCGGCAAGTGCTTAGTATCTCTGGCCACCTACAGAACGAGAAAGGGCACCTGCAACCACGACTTTGCAACCAGGATTTCAGCGTGGCCACTCCAAACGCATGTGGTTCAGAATTTGGGTTGGAAACTCTTGTCCCGGGCACCTCCCAAACAAAGATGGGTCAAAACCCATGGGATCCCATTTTGGGGTAGGTGAATTCACCACCCATTTAAGACTATTTTAGTGGGGATGGGGATGTTCACTGGGGGTACGGGTCCAACCAAACTTTCTTATCCCAGATCTGCAGGTGCTTCAAATCTTTCCGGGATCGGCAGCCCGAAAGGAAGAGCACCTCCAGCACTGCCCCGAAAGTGAGAGAGAGAGATACATCCGAAAACCACCCGCTTTTCAAAGAGATCCTTTGAACCAGCTGGTAATCTATAAGTCAACTTTACAACCCTTGGCATGGTAGCAAAAAAAAGCCCACACTAAAAGTGTTCAGAATCAGTCAAACAAAGCAAAAAACACCTAAAGACATGCCAACAAAACCTAAGGTCAACTGGCAACTTAAGTCAACTGGCCATGGGACCCCACCTTGAAGGGACCCCACCTTGAAGGGACCCTCTCCGGGTGTTTCGGGCCCCTTTCGCGAGGCTTGTATGGGGGGTACCCCCTGTCAGGTGCCATGTTAGTGGGGGTACCCTGGCCAGTTCCACGCAAGGGAAAGGAACAAACCCATTGGTGGCTATTTTCTGGGAAGCCAAAAAGAAGCGTAACACCTTTGGATAGTATTTTCCAGGGAAACCAACGGAGAAACAAACAACCGACAAACCAACTTGCCCATCTTGGCTAAACCCCCCCCATTGCGAGTCTTCTCAACAAACCCCCACACCCCCACGACCACCACACCGACCCCACCAAACCCCCACCCCACCGCCACCCCCCGACCCCACCCACACCCCCCCCCCCCCCACCAAACCCCCACCCCCACCCCACCCCCACCACCCCACCCCCACCCCAACCCAACCAAACCCCCACCCCACCCCCACCCCACCCCCACCCCGCCCCCCACCCCCAACCCCCCCCCCACACAAAGCTGCCGAGAAACTGAGAAGCATCACGAAGGCGCGCTTCTCCGCCTGCACCTCCAGCAGCGCCAACCCCGACGCCGCCTGCAGGTCCGCGAGCCTCCGCCGCTTGGTTGGAGCGCAGGGGGTTGGCAGTTGGGCTGGCCGATGGAGCGGCTTTTTGCCCTGAAAACAGGCCGGATCAAAGTTGTGATTTGTTCCGCTGAGATGGTCTGCCCAAACAGCTTCCAGTCCAGGAATTCGCGAAGTCAGCATAGGGGGTTCACCACCTCCCTTTTTGGATCTAGGGTGCGAATTTTTAGTTGGGGACCCCTCTGGCAGACGTGATTTTACTGGGAATTCATGTCCACCAACAAATCCTGAGGAAAGTTTGGTTGGTGCATGATTTGCGCGTCATTGCCGAGCTTGGTATGAGCAACGTAACAAATGTTTATCCAAAATGACGTGGGGAAACGTAGGGTCAAAGGTTTCTGCTATGTTGTTCGAGTGAGTTCTTTCACGTCCTTCCAACAGAGCCAGGGACTGGGGCACAAAAAAAGAAGTCCCCCGATTTTCTTTAAATTATCAAGTCAATCATCGGCAAAAAGGGAATGGGTGGGTGTTCAAGCGGCAAATGGCTGTGGCTCCAAAAACCGGAATTCCAAAATGGCTTGCCCCTCCTGTAAGTGGAAACATGTTTTCCAAACCCGCGGTTTGCCCCTGTCGTTTAATTTGGAGCCATTTTCAAGTACCTTGGGAGGAATCGCAGAATGGTAAGCCCAGTGACACAAATACCTTGGGAGGAATCATGAAAGGGTAAGCGACACGGGTCATGAGTTCAGCCAAGGGTTGCCCCGAGCAAGGCTTTGAAAAAAGACCAAAAGGTCTTATTTTCCGCAGTGTTTTTGCTTTTATTCCAAAACGTGTAAAACATCATCTGTTTTTGTTCCCCCCCCGAGAGGGTGGTTGTGGACGGGGAATTGAGTGGCCAAACAAACGAAAACTGTTGCTTTACCATTTTTTGGGCCACCCTAAAAATCGAACCAATAAAAATTAATCTCTTCCCCCTATTAGTGAATGACCCCAATTAATAAAAAAAAATGGAAATCCGGGGCCCGGGACCAGATTTCCACTCCGCACAATTGATTTTCCATTGCGCCAATACTAAACCAATACTAAAGTCTTGGAATCCTTATTAGGGGGCACTTTTAACAAGCTGCCAGCCCCAATCCTAATTGGGTCCTTTATTGGGGTGGTGTCCCTCAAAAGAAAACATGTCCCCAAAAGCTGTCTAGCTGCGACTGTCTCTCTCCCGTACATGCTGGCTAATCAATTAACCTGCCTGGCTGCAAACAAACAACCAGTAAACTGAAAAACAAATAGAATGATACATAAATTGTCCTTATTAAACCGCTTACTCGCGGACCTTACAATTCAATCCATTTCCTCCATCCCTATGTGAACCTTCACATTGTTGAAAAAGCAAAAAAAAAACAACAATTCCGAAAATCCCAATTAAAAAAGGATATTTGTTGGGGAGGATTTTTTACTAATTGGGGGGGGGTGACCCGTATTTATTAATAGGGGGAAGAGAACCCAGGTTTAGGTCTTTTCCTTTACCCAGAGGCTCCCGAGGTATTTAGGGCCCTCAAACGGCCAGGTTTTGAGACCGGGTCCCAAACACCGATTCCCGGGGTGTAGTTTTGGAGTCGGGTCTTCCATTGAAAGCCGAAGCCGATCGGAGCCTCTGGGTAAGAGCCAAGATGGTCCAGGTTTACCTAGAGTCTCCTTTCTGACCCCTCGAAAAAGGGCCCATTTGACCCCATTTGGGGCAATGACCCGGACCATTTTTTAAGGGTCAGATTCGGAGAGTCTAGGTACCTGGAGTCAAAAAGCACAAAAGAAAGATTCGGGTCCTGACCCGGCCCTTCCTTTCAGAAACCAGAACATAGCTAACATCGTGGTGAGCCCGGCGGTTGGGGAGAAAAAATTAAAGCCCTCCTTTTGAAACCACATGGGGTGGTAGCCCCGAACCTCCAAACCACAAAACTTGGTTGACCTTGGGTTTGGGGAGCAACCATTTGATGTTTTGTATTTTAGCAGCTAAGTGGGGATTGCAACCACCAAACCACAATAAGCAAAAATGTAAAATGTTTCCCAACAACAACCATGAAAACCACCAAGTGGAAAGCTGAACATTAGAACAAAGAAAGAACAAACAGTTGAAGCAAAACCTGAAAGTATTTGTCAAACTCCGCCTCAGAAACAAACAAATAAACTTTATAACTCCGCCTCCGAAAAAAAATGGAGAAAACAAAAGAACACAAAAACAAGTAAATCAACAAACACACACACACACACACAATGCATGCCTTCGCCTCCGAGCACAAAAAAAGCAATAAACAACAGCACAATTGATAACTTCGCCTCCGGAATACCAAACAATAAAATCAAACAGAACAACCACCACAACACAAAGCAACAAACATCGAAGGTTGAAACAAACTTCCGATCCTCCGCACGAAGCAGTACGCCACCATGAGCACGAGGCTAAGAGAGAGCTCCACCATTTTGCCATGGTCGTCCTGAAGCAAACGAGCTTCGGTTCCATGACCTGTCTTGGCTGGAAAAATCGGACCCCGGCCATTTTATATATATATATATATATATTTGTTTGCCTTTGTGGACTCCTTCCATTTGGTTGTTCGACCCTTGGATTTGTTATTTTATTTTTATTTTTTTATTTTTAAGTAGTGACAGATTCCAACTTTAAAACCAACAGGGGAAACTAAAATTGATAAGTCTTAAGCAACACATATTCTTGGCTGGAATCAGGACCAGCCAAAAAATGTGTTTTTTATTCTTTCCAGGGATCCTTCTTTCCAAAAAACCTCACTAAACCCAGGTTGAAAACGGATCCCGTTTTTGAAAAGAAGGATGGTTGAAAAGAATGGACCAAGAATCAAACCCTAGGCAGTTGCTGTTCTCAAAAAGGGATGCCCCAAAATGCCGACGAAAAATAGGCGTCAAACAATGCCCAGCAGCCCCTGCTGTTTTTCAGATGGTCCAGGATTCCCTGCTCCACGGTTCCCTGCTCCCCTTTCTGATTTTTTGCTTTTTTTTGGGGTCCCCTTTGTTTTCCACCAGGGGAAGGTACCCCTACAAAACGTGGAGATTCGGTTCCAAGAACTGTGGGGTCCACCCAAGAAAAGGCTCCACCATAGGGTCGTCTACAAACCACCATGGGGTCGTCTACCCCAAAAAATTGGCTGCACGACGTTGTCTACCCACAAAAAGGCACCATGGCGTGGTCTACCCAAAAAACAAGGCTCCACCACGGGGTCGTCTACCCCAAAACAAAGGCTGTCGTCCACTGAAAAAAAAGCTCCACCATGGGGTCGTCTACCAAAAGAAAGGCTCCACCATGAGGTCGTCTAGCCAAAAAAAAGGCTCCACCATAAAGTTATCTACCCAAAAAAGGCTCCACCATGGGGTCGTCTACCCAAAAACAAGACTCCATCATCGTCTACCCAAAAAAAAAAGCTCCACCATGGGGTCGTCTACCCATGGGGTCGTCTACCCAAAAAAAGGCTGTCGTCTACTCAAAAACGAGCTCCACCATGGGGTCGTCTACCAAAAAAAGGCTCCACCATGAGGTCGTCTACCCAAAGAAAAGGCTCCACCATGGGGTCGTCGACAAAAAAACAGCTCCACCACAGGGGTCGTCTACCAAAAAAAGGCATGGGTCGTCTAACCAAAAAACAGGCTCCATGGGGTCGTGTACCAAAAAACAAGGCTCCACCATCGCCCTTATCAAAATACTGTCGTTTGACCAAAAAACAACTCCACCATGATATCGTCTACTCAAAGAAAGGCTCCTCCATGAGGGTTGTCTACCACGAAACAGGCTCCACCATCACCCTTCACCCTTATCAAAAATACCGTCGACTACCAAAAAGGGCTCCACCATGATGCTTCGTGAGCCTCTGTATTAATCGGCTGGAGACTCGAGGTATCCATGAACCCGAAAGGTTCACCCCCGCTCCCTTGGTTTTGCCACAGGTTCTCCCAAAAGGTTCATTGTGTCAAAATGGGGGGGGGAACAATCTTCCATTTGGTTAAGTTATTTGGAAAAATATCTTCCAGTAGTGATAGATTCCTTATTCGGTCCAGTAGTGATAGCAAGGGAACCGAATAAATATTCTGCAACCCACATGGAAGCCAGAAATGGCGGCTTTCCCGTTGGTTTCCCGCGCCCAACAAAAGGGTTACCCTGGAAACGCATCTCTGCCCGGGCCATGTGGCCCAATTTCGCCACACATCGCACCAAGGTAGCTGGTGACCCCTCTGCAAAAAGCTGATATGCTTTTGTGCACATGGCTTACCCCTTAAAACTCCAAGGATTGGGGGAGTTAACCTTTTACAGACATATAGCCCATGTTACCCAAAAAGTTGAAAAGTTGTGTTTTTTTTAAGAGGTAAGATGGGTTTAATGGAAAGCCTCCTGATTTCAGCCAAAGATCCAACTCAATAGCAATCAAAAGAAAAAGAAGGTGATGTGTAAGACACAGTGGACAGTGTCCTCCTGTGTGAGGGTCATATGCAAGGCGTGCGCCAGGTTCGACACAACCACCTTGGCGACAGCGATTCGAGCAAGCCCCTATGTGTGGTGCGGGAATCGCTACATGGTCTCCCTTTGAGGGTCTCACTTCCTGAGTGCCTCTTTCTGTGCATTGCAAGTGTACCACATTTATGACATTGATCCGCATTGCTATTTATGCTGCTCATCCAAGTTAACAAACAAAACATGGGGTTTGGGGCTTACAACCGTGGCAATGACGGTCTACCTCGCCACAGTCTGTCACGCAAGTATTTGCAATCAATGAGAATTTCCGTCATCCGTGTCACTACAGGGCTTGTCTGCCCACAAGGGGCCCCTTTTCTAGGGGGCGAAGGAGAGTTCAAGAACCTCGACTGCTATCTAGCATATCGGACTAATGCATGGCAGCCAATCTTCCATTTGGTTTTTCGACCCCTGGCAAAAAAATAAGGTATGTCCAGTAGTGATAGATTCCCTTTAAAACCAACAGGGCAAAACAAAAGAAAAGACAGCAAATGGAAGCAATTCAGCGATGGCAGACTCCTCAACGATGCCCTGCAAATGTGTGGTGTTTTCAATTATCTTCCGCGACAATGCCCATGCTCGATTCAAGACTCTTCACGTGAGTCATCAGGTTCCCATCTTCCTTCCAAAGGGGCTCTCTCGATGAACATTTATCTATTGGCCTAAACTGGTGGCTTTCCTTTCGGTTTCCCTTTGAATTTGAAACGAAACCTCCGGTAGCCTCAACCTCAAGCAAAAATTTCCTAGGTCCTCCAGAGAGGTTAGAATAAGTCGAACTTCCCGAGCACAACTCTTCTTCGGGTTTCGTCTCTTTGAGTTGGGGAACCCAACACCCCCCAAAACAGAAACGGGTCAAAGGGCCCCAATCGCTGGGGGCCCCAATGGCGTAGAGATCCTCGCTCCTTCGCTCCTCGCTCCGCCCGTCTCTCGCAAGAGCGCTCCGAGCCGAGCCGCGAGAAGCCGAGAAGGTCCCAAACCTCAGGGCCCCGAGGGCACGAGACTGGCCATGGCTTTGGGGAGCAGCCGCCTGCTTTTTTTTTTTGTTGTTTCTATTGTTTTGTTCTTCTTTTCCTTTTTTTTAACGTACCCAGAAAACCTGGTGATTAGCCACCTGTTTTTTTGGTTTAATAAACTTACCCAGAAAACCTGGAAATGAAAGGTGTTTTTTTTAACGCCAGAACACCTGGAGATAAAAGGTGATTTTTGCTTCTACCCAGAAAACCTGGAAATAAGTTGGTGATCACCTTTTAAAGGTGAAAAGGTTGGCTTTGGGCAAAGAAACAGAGGCTGGCGGTGCGTCCCACAAAGGTGATCGCTAGGACGTAGACGTGCATCTCCAGGTTGTCTTGGTTCAGCAATGGGGCAGCGTAGATGCTCCATAGGATCCTTAGCTGAAGACCGTCCAAACTGATCTGCCCAAAGTGAATCACTTTTAGTGGGGCACATGGAACCCCAACCAATCAGCCAACTAAAACAACTACCTAGACTCTCCATGACCCTAAAAACATGGGGCCATTGCCCAAAAGAAAGGGGTCATGACCCTATTTTTGAAGGGTGATGAGACTCTAGGTGCAAACCTAAGGAACCGGACTTTTTGTAGATACCTTTAAACTATGATTCTATAAACTTACCCCTTAAAACTCCAAGGATTGAGGAATTTGTCATCTTTTACAGACGTATAGCCCATGCCACCCAAAAAGTTCAAAAGTTGTGTGTTTAAGAGGTAAGTATAAACAAACGTTCTTCTTAACAAAATCAGAGACTACAATTAGGGTCTCGATTGTTTTTGGGCCCTCAAGACTCAAACCTGGGCGTGTTCAAGGGCCCTGAGGATTTCTCCATTGGAGGGAACATGACCCTTAGGGTAATCAGCTCGAAGGGTTGGTGAAAACCTCTTTGAACCTTTCAACCGACTGACAGGAAAGGCTCCACTTTGCGGCACACTCCCTAGCACCGACTCCTGGGTAGGAAACCCTTTTAAGTTGAGTGTGTCTTTAAGGTGGAAAACCAGTTCCCACGTTCCACAAGTGTGTCTTTTGAGGGCCCTGCAACGCGAAGCCAAATGGACATGGCACGTCACAGAGAGCTGGGTTGAGGTGTGATTCAGAACAAGTGGACCATTAAAACAACGGGGGCTAAGACAACCACCATTATTTACCTAAGGGTTTGCCTTATGCAAGGCCCCAGGTGTGATTCAGAACAAGTGGACCACCATTAAAACAATGGAAACTAATACGACCATTATTTACCTAAGGGTTTTCGTCATGCAAGTTGGGTCAACCACTCTTTTCATGGGGGCAAGGAACCCCAGGGCCAAGGGATCCCATCCGCCTACACCGCCGAGTCAAGCCCAAGCTCAAGCTCACAGTTTTAACAGGACGCGGCATCTGAAATCAACTCGAGCGGGATGTTTGCAACGTGAGACTCTAGGTACAAACCTAAGGAACCGGACTTTCTGCGGATACCTTTAAAATAAAATTATATAAACATTTTCTTCTTTTCACAAAAGAGACTACAATTACAGTAGGGTCTCGATTGCTTTTGGGCCCTGAAGGGTACATGTTCCTTGGAGGCGGATGGGTTTCTCCCTCGACATCCGTAGCTCAAGAACAACTCCTTGATACGGTGGAGAAGGGATTCGCAAAATATCCGCAATGGCCAAAATAACCTGTAGGCAAAGTACATGAACATTATCTTACATGACAACTTCTAAAGTTTGCAAGACCCCCTTTTAGTTCCAGCTCAGAATCATGGCGGCAACGTAGGCGACATTGCAGACCTTCGCGCAGACTTGGCAAGGCTTCCCGTCGATCCAGTTTTGCTTCGTGTTTATTGTATTTGTTCCGCCTTCCCATGAGTCATTTGTCAATCAGTACATTGGCGCTGTCTTTGGCGACCCCGAAAATGATTTTGTTCCTTTTTGTTTCCCCTTAAACAAATCCAAAAAAAAACCTATCAAAACAGCAAAGCCAAAACAAAGACACAAAATGATCAAAGCAAACAGGAGACACCAGATATGCAAGAAGAGACCGACCTGTACGAACAAACCTGGAATTCGCGGTTCTGTTGCTGAGGTAAGTCCACAGGGATGCAAATCGGAACAACAATTGCGTAACCCTTGTTCTCACTTACTACGGGAAGTTCTGGGAGGATAGGGGGAATCTGATGCCCTGCAGAATTCTTGTGAGAATGCACCAACATTTTGGCAACCCCCTAAATTTGGTGCTTTACCACAAACAGTACCCTCAAGACGCCCAAATTTGGTGCCTGCAACGGGCTGGACAAAACCATATATCTTTGTCGCTCGCATCACTGGCATGAGCCGGCCAACCGAGACCTCTTTTGTTTCTTCTTTCGTGTGGATATGTTTTAGAGGGCCCTCAAAATGTGCCTTCCCGGGCTTCCTGGTGAATCAGAATGGTTTCAGAGTTTCTTACTTGTGCCAAAAAGCCATTTCATGGTCTTCCCTTTGGACTTACCTCACTTCCCCTGCCCCTTGAGATTCAAAGTGCTTTGCAACCGGTTTCTTCAATCCTGCCATTCCTTCTCTTCCATGTTGATCTGGGGAGATTCACTGGCCAGGTTAAAGCTTTTCCGCGCCCCAGGTCGGTTTCCTGAAGCCGGCCAAGTTTGCGGGAGAAAAGCCATGATCTCGCCTCTGGCGTTCCTTCTCGTCTCTTCCATGGCCTCCTACAGGCTGCAGCTGAGGCCTCCTACAGGCTGCAGCTGCTGCAGAGGCTCTGAGGCCCGGACGACGCTTCTGCGGTGCTTCACTAACATATGGCTCACCTCGTCGGATCGGGGATGGTGTGGGGATCCAGAAACATGAAAAACACGAGTCACAATCAAAACCCGGTATTAAAAAAGGGTCGTAATCCCAGAACCATGCCTCAAGAATTAGAAAGGCGGCTGCAACTATTTCCGGCTGGGACTGCCCCTTACTACCCTTCATTTACCCAGGTTTGGATTGTGGCTCACCTGAAGATTGCCTTGTAAAGGGTTCCCTTTATTTTGGTGGAAAAAGCCATGTTTCAAATGGGCAAAAGGTATCTTTTAAGGAGCCCTGTATAGTTTGGGCTGGGTTTCGGGTTTGTCTCAGGTGCGTGGCGAACAAGGGCTCCGGGTCGGGTGGTTTAAGGTTAGTCCAAGGTGGGCTAGGTATGCGCGAAGGCTGGGTTTGGGGTTGGCTTGGGGTTGGTTTCAGATGTGTTTAGGGCGGGTTGAGGGTTGGTGTAGTGTTTCTTTGGAATAGGCTCAGCCTCAGCCTTGGTTTAGGGTGGAACCGATCGCAACTGCCCGGCCCACGGACAAACGGTGGGATGTCCACGCACACAATGCCTCCCACCACGCAGAAAAACGCCTCGCCAAACCTAGGAAACAAACAAACTTGGGGCCTATCGCTGACCTTGCAACCCAAAAAATGGTCAGAACCATGCTCCCATGTGCCGAGTTCGTCCACAGCCAGCTGTGGTTGGGAGCGTTCAGGGGACGTTCCGGAAGGGTTCCAAGGGTTTGTGGCCGGGGATCAAAATTACGAAGCCCTTTTGGTTGGTATTTAAAGAGAAACCAAAAGGAAACCTACCATTTCACATGACCCCATTTCAAGAGAAACACCCATCGCGTTTCTTTGTGCGTAGGGCTCGGTATCCGAGTCGCCATCAGAAGCGCCCAGAAACCGCAAATGATGTAGCTCTTGTGCGCGGGGCCCACGGAGTCGAACAAGAAGAAGCGGATGAGCCTAAGCAAAGATTGGATCAATCAACTGGGTAGGTTACAACTGGTTATAAGCTGGGGTAACCCTCAGAAGTCTCCTGCCAACTATTATAAAGCATGGACGAAAGCAACTAAATTGGTTGAACACCCAAAGCCTCCCACTTCTCACTTCCGAACTGGCCCAAAGGCCAGACTATTTGTTTGCCGCTTGTGGCCATGACGTTTTTAGTGGGAAAAGTCCACCTGCAAATAGTTGAATGAATTCCCACCTAGCTGATGTCCACCTAAATTTGGTCCCCCCTTTGCGCGGGAAGCAATAAAAAACAACCGGGTCTCACATTTCCGTGGAGAAGCCTTGGCACTTTGCAGGCCTTGCTGGTGTTGGACGACTTTTGAACGTCATCCTAACAAGGAAGCACCATGAGTAAAAATCAAACTGACCAAAAAATATTACCCCTCAAAACTCCAAGGATTGGGGAAGCTTTCACCTTTTACAGACATATAGCCCATGTTGCCCGAAAAGTTGAAAAGTTGTGTTTTTAAGAGGTAAGAAAAAGGACCCCTGTGGTTGCTGAAATGAAATATTCGCCAGTTGCGTATGTTCCTTGATTCCGGTATTCCTCTCGGAAAGGTTCCGAGAGAGCCTGAGGGGTTGCATGAGATGCGCGGGCTGCCAAGGGCACTCAGCTCCTTTGGTCCAATTCAGCTGGCTTGGAGCTGAATCGAATCGCTAGGTCTGGAAGGCATGGTGCCCCATTTGTGGGGGGACCTGCCATTTTTCCATTCTGAACCCAGGCATCCGAATTTCTTTCTAATCCACCCAAAACCCTGAAAAAACAGCGATCCGTTGTTGAAAAGAACGATGGAAGAAAAGAATGGGAAAGGAATCAACCCCTAGACCATTTACCCCGCAGGAAACAAGGCTCAAAAACCCAAACCAACAATCCACAGCTAAGGGCTACCTTCCGAACCGACAACAGCCGCGCTAGAGCGACGCTCTCGCGCGAGGTTGACCTAGAGCCCAATTGGATGGTCTGGGACAAATCACTAAATGCCAGCTTTGCCCTGGTATCTCAGTACTTACTTGATTGTAAGCCCCCTAAAGCCAGGGTTACCATATAATTCCATTTACTTGGGGCGTCTCCTTGTGACCCTTTAACAATGGTCATGACTTTTGGTAGCTGATGCCCTTTTTGTAAGGATCAGATTCGGAGACTCAAACAAAACAAAAAACGGCAAAAAAAAACAAACAAACCAACAAACAAACAAACAAACAAATAAACAAACAAACACACAGACAAACAAACAAACAAACAAACAAACAAACAAACAAATAAACAAACAAACAAAAAACAAACAAACAAACAAGCAAACAAACAAACAAACAAACAAACACACAAACAAACAAACACACAAACAGGCAAACAAACAAACAAACAGACAAACAAACAAACAAACAAACAAATAAACAAACATCCATCCATCCATCCATCCATCCATCCAACCAACCAACCAAACAAACAAACAAACAAGCAAACCACCAACCAACGAAACCCAAAAAAAAACAGAAAACAGACCATCTACAGCCCCCTGCAACCAAGGATACCGAGTCTACAAATGGGGTCACGTTTTGTGGTAGACACCCTTGAGGCTCAGATTCGGAGACAGGTAGCGCGCCGTCCCATCTGGGGGCTGATCACACGGTCCGATGAACATGGGATGACCATTGGTTGGAAAACCACAAAAAGTAATACTTCCCACATGGAAACAGTTACCCATGGTCATGGCCGGGGGCCCTAAATGGACAAATTGATCAAGCTCCAAACCATCTTACATCTTTACCCACAAAAGGAATATATCTTTTAATCCCAGGTGTACCTAGACACTCCTTCTGACCCTTTCAGCATGGTTGGTCACTACCTAAAAGTCAACCGGGTCCATGTTTACAGGGTCAAAGTCAGAAGGAGAGTCTACCCAGACCCCCCCAAAAATGTTGTCATTGCCCAAAACAAAGATTCGGGTCATGACTCCCCTTTTTCTAGGGGTCACGGAGACTCTAGGCAGCTCTCTAATCGTCCATGCACTCCCCGACCCTCCAACGGACAACCCAGAGGAATTCTTCAGGGGTTCTTGAAACAACCAGTTTAGAGGGAGTCGAGACCCTTAGGGGAAGTCAGAAGGAGAGTCTAGGTCGGGTTGATCACTTCCAAGCCCAGGTTTTCTTTTGTCCAAAGGGCACCGGCACGGCGGCGCATGCGACGCCGCAGCTTGCGGCGAGGGTGCCCTGAGAAGCTGACGAAAAACTCACCAAATGCTGTGGGTCAAAATCAATGGGATCCCATTTTGGGGTAATGTTAACACCCGATTAATCATGGGTCAGTCAAGAATTGAAAGCGCTTTTCCTTATTATGGTTCGCCCCCATTGTTGATGCGGACCAGAACAACTCAAAGTTGTTTTGTCTGGGGGAAAAAACAAAACAAATATCCACAAATCATTTTTTATATAAAAAACCATCCCCCCCGAGCCCCCCCTCCCAGAAAATAATCTATCAGTTGCTGTACTCAAAAAAAAAACCGCTTTCAATTGGTGGCCCACTTGCTTAAAAGCATTCCCCTTTCAATTGGTGGCCCACTTGCTGAAAAGCATCCCCTTTCAGTTGGTGGCCCATTTGCTTAAAAGCATTCCCCTTTGAATTCCTTGCTGAAACAAAAAACCCAAAGCCAGCTGAAACCTCTGAAACTTGAAACCACCCCCAGCCCTGAAACTGCAAACTCTTTATTAAACCGTGTTCAAAAGATGCAAGATAAAACAATCAGGACAATGACAAGGGTACCTCTCACAGACCCCACTGAACCACAACAATGGCATCCTTTCGGGGGACCACATTAGTCTGCAAGCCCCCAGCCCCCCCTCCCAGAAAACAATCTATCAGTTGCGTTACTCAAAAAAACCGCTTTCAATTGGTGGCCCACTTGCTTAAAAGCATTCCCCTTTCAATTGGTGGCCCACTTGCTTAAAAGCATCCCCTTTCAATTGGTGGCCCATTTGCTTAAAAGCATTCCCCTTTGAATTGCTTGCTCAAACAAAAACCCAAAGCCAGATGAAACCTCTGAAACTTGAAAACCACCCCAGCCCTGAAACTGCAAATTATTTTATTAAACCGTGTTCAAAAGATGCAAGAAAAAAAATCAGGACAATGACAAGGGTACCCCTTACAGACCCCACTGAACCACAACAATGGCATCCTTTCGGGGGACCACATTAGTCTGCAAGCCCCCAGCCCCCCCTCCCAGAAAACAATCTATCAGTTGCTTTACTCAAAAAAAACGCTTTCAATTGGTGTCCCACTTGCTTAAAAGCATTCCCCTTTCAATTGGTGGCCCACTTGCTTAAAAGCATCCCCTTTCAATTGGTGGCCCATTTGCTTAAAAGCATTCCCCTTTGAATTGCTTGCTCAAAGAAAAAACCCAAAGCCAGATGAAACCTCTGAAACTTGAAACCACCCCCAGCCCTGAAACTGCAAATTCTTGTTTAAACCGTGTTCAAAAGATGCAAGATAAAACAATCGGGACAATGACAAGGGTACCCCTCACAGACCCCACTGAGCCACAACAATGGCATCCTTTCGGGGGACCACATTAGTCTGCAAGCCCCCAGCCCCCCCTCCCAGAAAATACACTATCAGTTGCTTTGCTCAACAGCATTCCCCTTTCAATTGGTGGCCCACTTGCTTAAAAGCATTCCCCTTTCAATTGGTGGCCCACTTGCTTAAAAGCATCCCCTTTCATTTGGTGGCCCATTTGCTTAAAAGCATTCCCCTTTGAATTGGTTGCTCAAGCACAAAACCCAAAGCCAGCTGAAGCCTCTGAAATTTGAAAACCATCCCCAGACTCTTTGAAGCACCACTCAGGTGCTACTGAGGCCTTATTCGCAAAACGGTGCCTCCTTTATTGCCGCATAAGGGTTAGTGCCAAAATGGGAGGATTGCCCAGTTCCACTGGGCAGCTCCCCTCAGCAGCTGATGGGAGTAGGATTGATGCCACTCCCACAGCGAGGGAGGAATCCTCCCACCTCACCGGATGCCCTCCCGGCATCATGGGTGAGGAAGGAAAGTAGCGAAGATCAGCTTGATCAATTCGCTTTCGACTGAGGGGAAGACCCGGTTCTCAGTCGGAAATTGCGGGTCCGGATGAGTAAGTTCATCCGCCCATGTGTTAAAGTCGCGCTTCACATGCGACGGTCCTAACATGACCTGGTGGTCATGCAGTGTTAACACAATTTCCATGAGGATGGCCGCATTGGGCATCCTGCGAGTGGAATCGTTAAGCAGGGAGAAAACGTTTCCCTGGTTATCACTAGCAACCAGAATCCTAGTGTGAGAAGCCGAGCCGGCTGCACAAAGCAGAACAGCCCTCACCAAAAGGAGGAGGCCGAAGAGCTCCAAGGCCGCTATCGCCCGCTGCGGGTCCCCAGTAGTGAAGGCCCACGGCTCGCCCTCCGGTGTGATTCTGTGTTGGAACCACTTCACTCGGGACTTGTCGGGGTTGGGCACGTCCGAGCACCAACCACCAACCCATGCATGGTCCGCCTGTTTGCCAGCTCCCGCATCAGATGCCCCCGTCCATGGAAGTGTGGGAGCAAATGGAGATGCCAGTGGGAACCTCTGGTTGAAGAGCTTCCCCAGAAGGATGGCCAGAGCACGAACCAGCTTCGGTGGCCTGCCCGAAGTGGTGCAGGCCTTCTTCCAGCTCCAAAAGGGCTGGAGGAAAGGTTTCGTCAATGGACACGCCGAAGTAGCCCATTGAATCCGGCCCAGGGCTTGTTCCACCTCCTTGCTGGTAAAGATGTCCCCCTGGGCCAGCCGTTTGAGAGTGGCCAGGATTATGACGTGCTTGACTGGAGCCAGCAGCACACAGGGCGTGATTGGGTCCACCACGAATCCCAACCAGGTATTGACCGGGGAGAGCGCCGTCTTCTTCCAAGAAAGCGGGACTCCCAGCGCCAGAAGAGTGGCCAGGATGGCTGTGGCGTCCCAGTCCGCCCTGCTGCATCTGAGGACCCAGCAGTAGTCGTCCACAAAAACTAAGTGCCAGTCCACCTGAGGGAAGATGTAGTACAAGAGTCTGAGCACCAAGGATGCCTTTCTTCCCCAGTACAGTTGTGCCGAGGCCATGCCGTACGTGCCCACTCTATTGACCCACCACCGGTTCTGGATGCAGGCCACCTGGTATTTCCAGTCTTTCTGGAGCACTTTTATGCGCCTGTGGGCCTTGGTGACATCCGCCTTGAGGATGATGAAGGTTTCCCCCTGTGTCGGCGGCTGCCACGTCAGGGGTTCCCCCCTGCTCCCCCCAGGGCGTTCCGTGCCTGGGGGGGTTGGGGGGAATGGGGCCCTCCTATCAGGGCCCTCGGCACCTGGGAGTGGCCCCTTCCCTGAGGGTGTTGACCGCGGAGAGACGTCCAGGCCGCCGGAGGTCTCCATCATCCGCCTGCCCCTATCAGGGCCCTCGGCACCTGGGGGCAGGCTGGTGCTGTGGGGGTCCCTCTCAGGGCCCTCGGCACCTGGGGACTGCCCCTGCACCGGCTGGTGAACATCCCGAGGTTCCTCATCAGTGCCCGAGGATGGGGCTCGGAGTAGATGAGGATGGTCCGCCGCTGTCCTGAGCCAGTGGATGGCATGGAGGCAGTCTCCAACCATCGGTGCGGTGGTCTTCTCCTCCGTGTGAGCCTGGATGTGTGCGTTTGCTCCCCCTTTTGAGCCATCATAGATCGTCCTGATCTTGTCCGACTCATCAATCCCTGCAAGGGGGCCCGGGCAAAGTTCCTCCGGTTTGCAGCGGCACCTCTCTGCCGCCTCGGAGCGAGTGAAGGGCCCGTCCACCATGTCCAAGGCTCGTTCCTCGTAAAAGGTTGATTCGATTTCCTTGGCAAAGAGTTCAGCCGTTGGGTAGTTATCATGAGCCACTGGCGGGGGGGGATCTTCCCCCAGCCAGGCTTCTCCCTTAAGCTCCTCCTTAGTGGGCCAAACTCCCGGGGAGGTCAAGGTAGGGTCCGAGACTCCCAAGGGGACCCCCTCTTTCAGTGTTAGGGGGAACTCCCAATCAGGGTCACCTGAAAGGGATGCCAAGTGCGACACTAAGTCCAGGAGGAAGGGTTGTCCTGGGCATCGTTCATGGAGGTGCCTCGGTCCTAGGATAGCCCGCAGCTCCTCGAGGTCGGTTTCCTGGAAGGGGTGTGTGGTGGCACCTGATGCCAGGGACATCCGGACCTTATCAATCCAGGGCCTGGTAAGGGTCATGATCAGGGCGCCCAAAGTAGCCAAAGGGGAAACTCTCCGAAAAGGGGGGTTGAGCCTCCCCGGGGAAGGTTTCCCCCCCCCATCTCTCAGGGGGCGTGAACGGAAACCCAATTGGACAATCGCAACTCGGTCAGTGAGGCGTGGGACCCGGAAAGCGGGCAGGCATTCGGGGCGGTCCAGGACCTGGTCCCCATGTTCTTCCTTTTCCAGTTGTTCCGCATCTCCGGCCATCGGGGGCATGGGAGATGGGAAGTCTGGACTCATAGTTCCACGAGGGCTTACGGTGTCAGCCTCATGGTGGATGTGCCCGTGCTGGCGGGGCTTCGGGGCATTCTTGCCTCCGGGCTCTGGGCCCTGGTGTGACGAGGAGGGACCGCCTCCCTGATTGGGTCCCCGTTTCCCCCGGGGAGAAGGGCCCCCAGGGGGGTCCGACCCCCTTCCCTTAGGTGGTTCCTTAGGGTTTCCCGGGAATTGTGAGGGGATCCGGATGTGCCCCGGCGCTGCGAGTGACACAGCGATGGCTTTGGCCAGGCCTGCCATCATATCCCAGGGGTATCTGCTGAGAGTCGAGGACTCGCTGGTGCCCACATGTGACTGATGTGTGCACCGCATTTGATCCCAGTCCTGGATTGGGAGATCCGTGGCAAGTGTGGTGGCCTTCTTGACCAGCTGGCCCAGGCGGCACTGGTCGAAGGAGATTGCTGTCAAGGAGTTTTCCTCCATCCAAAGCTGCCCCTCCTCCGTGATCCAGAAGGATGAGCATTCCTTGGCTTTGGGCAGCGAGCTGCTCACCACTGGGTCCTCCGGGTGCTCCAAGAAGGATTTTGGCCCTGGCAGAGAGACCGCCGATCTTGAGGCCCTTGCCAGGCTGGTGATGTACATCTGCCTCAAAATGAGGGTACTGTCCTCATCAAGCTGAGTCTGGGCGGCCTGGTCCAGGTGTGGGAGGCCCCAAAGTGTCTCTCGAGTGCGTCCTCGCACCGGG